CCATTGACTGTTCTCGAATTAGAGGGAGCCGAATTTAACGCACTCTTGAGAAAATATTATGTGAGAAGAGAGTAACGCAATTCCGTCTACTATTCCCCGAGGAACAGTTCTCCCGCCCACGCCGAGACGATTCAACGCACGAGTTCGATCCTAAATTAACATTAATTGAGAGTTAATTGAGCAGCAGGGTAAATTACGACGACAATAGATAGTATAAACCTACTTACTCATTAGGATTTAAACTGACTTCGGATAATTCCACTGAAAAATGTGGTACACCAAAGAAGGCCTCGCTTCGCTCAACGAACGTCTAAAAAATGATCTGTGAATTTAACTTAAAAGTGGGATATTTATTGCGTGAATTTATTAGCTCAAAACTGCAGACGCGATGCAGTCTCCGAAAGGAGAAAATTAAAACGTACAAAAAGAGACGAACGAACGCGTAATCTTTCTCATTTAATATGAGCACAGATTTTATGAAGTGATAATTAAATCGACAAACTGGCACCGTTACAACTTGCCAGGCAGATGGTTCTTCAAATAACAGTCCTGATCGATCATCGTTCGATTGGGTGAACAAAACTTCACGAAGCCTCTTTCCAGTTCGCTGACTGAAATTCACTCGAATCGGAATAAATCGTCCGCTTCGTTCACCGATCGGATTCGATTCGGCCGAGTGTCGTGACATAAAAGCCGGCCGTCTTGTTTCGAGTTTCTCGAAGGAAGTTCGAAAAGAGACGTTCGAGGTCGTTCGTCAGATCCGAAGCAGGGCCAGGTCTTGCATTCTGTATATTTCGTGGACTCAGGGGCGCGCAAACCAGTCATGGAGAATCGATTCGAGCCGCGCGGTGTCCCGGAAGGGAAAATGGCGCGTGGGCGCGAAAGAACGTCCGTCCTGGAGATCGGCTTTCTCTTCTCTCGTCTCTTCTTTCTCCAGACGAGGCCCGCGTACAAGGGCCCGGCCTTTCTGAGAGCCACTGTGGATAATTGGGACCGCACCCACTCGTCCCTTACGGACCCAGCCCTTGGGACCCTTTGGTGGCTCGTGCCTAGCGGCTGCCCTAACCCCCTGGTCAGGCCCAACCTGGATGCATCGTCGGCATTGAAACCCAAAATTAATCCTTTTTCTATAATACTGAAGATATAGATATACAGAAGTTTGCAAAGACGTCTACATAGATTATTCCTCACCGTATATCTATTTATTCTGGCAAAACTTGAAGGCACAACTTCGAGGTCTTCGACGTGTCCGACGTTAAATTAGGCAACGCTGATCTTTCACTCGCTGCAGACGTAATTCTGTAACAAATAACAATTAATGACAACTGAAATCGTTAATTATGACAATGAATACGCCATATGCCGTGCCGGATTCGCGATTTCACCTGACCTTTTCCGTGCAACGCAACCCCGTCCATCTCGACATGATAGTATGAAGTGTAAGATGTAAAATACATGCCCCCTCCATCAATTGTGTAGTGTAGATAACTAATATAAGCCATAAAATGTGTATTAGTAACCTTGCCAATTTTCATATTGCAATGCAACACGTTGCGGTCCGTCTTAACATGCTCTAATTTTTCCACCTCTACATGAAGTGCGCATAGGGTGAAGCCGACGCCATATTGGATATAACAGGCTAACACCTAAGTCTCACCAAAAAACCGTTTTCGGCGCAATCCTTCGTTGAAATGTACACTAATATAAACCATAAAATGCGTGTTAGTAACCTTGCCAATTTTCATATTACAATGCAACACGTTGCGGTCCGTCTTAACATGCTCTAATTTTTCCATCTCTACATGAAGTGCGCATAGGATGAAGCCGACGCCATATTGGATCCAAGGCGCTGGCGCCTCTTTGAGTCTCACCAGATGACCGTTTTCGACACGATCGCCCCCTATCGCGGCAGGTGGTCGCGCAGCCTTTGGTGAAATTTACACGAAGCGTTTAATTAAGCGTTCGTGTTCCTCGCGAGGCCCTCGTGCCGATGCGCGTGGGTCTCTTTTATTTGACTCCCGGCGGTATCGGCGTCTCCGTCGCACACCCGGGGCCTGGCATCCGAGCCTCTCTCTCGGCCGCCCCGGGCCCGCTTTTCGAGGCCTTGTTCGCGCGTGCACGCGCTGGATACAGAGACCCGGTATGTAACCCCGAGCTAATAACAGGGCGATTCGTCTCCTGCCCTTTTTAATGCGCGGGCATTCCACCGCTCTCGATAAGGGAACACGTGTAAGGCGATAAGTCTTTTATTGGCCCGGCGAGTCGGGACCGATCGCATTTTCGGACACCCGAAAAACGCCCAACACGACGCCGAGACACCTCTCGCCAGGTGTTTCCTCCATTTCCAGGTAAACTTCGCTCTCTTAATTATCCCTAATATGATTAATACCGTTGCGATGCGATAATCCCTTGAGAGTCGAACATTGACGTTCACCTTTTTCATTTTCGTTTCCATCCCACTGTCGAAACGTCAAAGCTGGACGTGCGACCTCATTTTGGACTCAGTTTTGTGTATCTTTGAACGAGTTGTTTATCAGTTTGGAGTGCTGTAGATTTTTCTAGAACAGCAGCATGGAGAATTTCCCAGAATTTGCGTGCGAAAAGTTCAAGCTACAGGAGGAATGTCCCACAGTGACTGAGTTTTACGAATTGGAAAAGAGCATTTCAAGGTAAAAATTCATTATAAATAGTTTAGTCTGCATACATTGCGTTTATAGAGACCTTTTATGAGCTGTTTCTTCATCCCTAGAACATGGCGCGCGAGTGATTCCCGAAGACATTGGGAGATGATGCTGCACTGTGAAAGAGCCATGTTCCCATGTCCTCTGCCGAACCTTCCGCTGCCTTCAAAAGAGGTAGCCCAGAAAAATCCTTACAAAACTAATTAAAATCTGGTACACGTACTGAATTGCCCTCTTCAGGCTCGGTTTTACTGGCACTTGTTGCTGGCGACGGGGACACACGAGCCCCTTTACCAGAAAACTCTAAACACGGCGCTGATTTCTACGATAAAAAAGTAACTTCCTTCAAGGCTCCCTTCCTCGGTACAACCTTCATTCCACCTTAATTAAATTCCTCTCTCAGTAAATATTCAAATATCGACTTCCGACGTAATTACCATCCTCGTGTTGTCCAAGAGTACTTCGCAAAAAGTCAATGTCGAAGAACGTCATGATTTCGGAGCAGCTCGTCCGCCTGAAGAGCTTCGACCATGCAGGCAGAAAGTGCATCGTCAATCAGCTAGAAGATTATATCCGGTAAATTATTATTTTTTGTCCCCCTACTGTTTAACATCAGCATATCCGAGTTAATTAATGGCCCCGCCGTTTATAGGCTAATAAATCAAGCGATAAAATGGAGGCCTCGTAAATAGTACTCAAAATTCGGCTCCCACAGAGTCACGCTGAGTCATTGCCCGAGCATGAGGAGTACTCAGTCATAGAGACTCTTAAAGTCTCAGTTCTCCAAATGATTTAGCCGTTCGGAGGGTGCACTTTGGCTTTCCTTTCTAGGCAGCAAGTGGCCCTGGAGTCTCTCAGCTTGGAGGGTTTGTTGCTTAAGAGAGAGGAAGGACTTCGACTGGTGTTGGCACTCTGGAACTCCCGGAATACGATGAGGCACTTGCACTGCTGGCGAGCTTTCGAAAAGCGACAAGGTCCTCTTTTGGTTGACACTGGACATTTCACGGGATCTGGATTGTACACCGACAGGGTCGCAAGACATAGGGATTGGTTTCGTGCCATAAGCTGTATGGAATTTCTGACGACTCTCTCCGTTAATTATGCGTACATAGCTACGCCCACCGGAGACCTGCTGATAGCATTGTCTAAGTTGGTCCCATCTCAAAATTTAACATAACTTGACATTTCTTGCCCAAAGAATTTCAACGTGTAAAACTCATTCTGGGCGATGAGTCTTAGCACTTGATACCACAGGAAACTGAATGGTACAGTGAAGATAAAATTCGGTGCGTGGCCGCCACGTACGTCAGAAGTTTCACTTCGAATTCTAAGTTGAAGAGGATTAATCGATACCATTAATTACGCTTAATCAGCCTTTTACGAAATACCCTTACGCGCTAGGTACCGGTAGTTTATAGACGTGATTAGTTTTACTTATATTATTTTCATTCCACTAGATCGAGTAGTCTATACCAAATTTCAAAAATAAATGTGAATAGTAATTAGTTAACGTTGGATACAATAGGAAAGTATGTGATACGATAAGGATAATAAGCGTTTGTTTTGACGTTTTGTGATAGGAAGCTGGGATCGAATTGGCAGTGGCTGCAGCTGCTGTGCTTGGAGAGTGAGATTCCTGTAATCACTGATCCTCACGATGGAGTCGGCGGATATGCTATTCCTGACATCGCCTGGAGAGAAACCAGGCTCTGGGCACCGGCGTTGAAAGTGCAGTATGTTTTCGGTGAGAGTTCCCATCGCGGTTTCAGAAAAACCAGTTTACGGCTGCCACTTGTCGCGATTTACAGTCGGGATCTCCGAGTACGACAGGCAGAGGAGATTTTTCACCAAACACACGCCGATTCATACTTTCGTCCTGTCGGCGGACATGAATTTATGCTTTCGACAACCCTGGTTCATCGACTGCACGATCAAGACCCTGTGGATGTGGTACTCCAAAACATTGGGTAAAGCTACGTTCGTCACATCTTGACCTACATAAACGCAATTGGCACGATTTTCTTTTTTACAAATATTTCTCCGTACTTAATATAAGCCCTACACCAAGTAGAACATTAATAACAAAATGAATTTAATTTTTCTCTCCAGTCTACCTTTACTTGCAGTTGTGGCATCATCGGGAAATTCTTGACAACCAGCTGAGAAAACTGTTTCCCAGTTTGCCGCAATTACAGGTCTTCGAATTCGTCGGTGAGATCCGAGAGCTGAAGACGCTTTGCACGATGTGCTGCCAAATACGTACAGGAATGTGTAGTAAGAATCTCAGGATATTTAATGTTTTAATCAGATTTTCTTTATATTACCTATCGGTCCTTTTTTCTCATTTGTAGATGTTAAACATGTTAACTTACAACTACAAGATGTTATCGGTGCTGAGATGGATCGAAGCAAGTGCACGAAAAGTATAGAATGCTTATTGTATTGCTTTAAACAAGACTTCGACGAAATGGGCGTCACGTTCGAAATTAGTTTGTATCCATGTTAAACAAACATGAAGTGGAGTTTTATTTTCAACTATGATATAAATTCCCTCGCTATGCCACAGCTGTGTAAAAAATGGTAACAAAATTTATTATCTTTACAGAACATAGAATAGCTTTGATAAGAAGAAAATGCTCCTAGGTTTTAAATAATTATTTACGATGATTATCGCAAAAAATAATTTATGTATAATATGCGCTTTCTCTGTAAATGTTTGCTTAGGATGTCAAGCTAAGCATGGAGTTCCACTGAAGTATGAACACAGCATAGTGGCGGTGCATTATTAAATCCATCGCAGTATGCTGACAATTCCCAATTAATTTAACACTTGCGGATACTAAATAAGTTAAATAATCGACTAAACTGTTGTTGTCTCTTGTTGTTCAAATTTAGGATACTTGGCTTCCACCTCCTCCCACATAGTTTTGCCATAAGCCAGATCTCGAACTACTCCTGGGAGTTCCTCTAACTATAATTAAAAAAGGTTGTTTTATTCAATGGTAGAGAATATTGACAAGATTAAATAGAAAAAAATACTCACATTAATTCTAACTTGTTGCATGCTATCTCTTTCTCGGAGAGTAGCACTATGTGGAGTCTTCAACGAATCGAAGTCCACGGTGATACCAAAAGGTATAGCTATTTCATCGGTTCGAGCATACCTGCGTCCGATACTGCCACTAGAAGTGTCAACTTTATGGGAGACATCCACTTTTGTTAACTCCTGGGCTATAGAAAGCACATACTCGTAAATAAACATGAACAAATAAATGTTACAGGCCGTGCACATGGTGAGATTTCACACTTATACTTACACAATTTTTTTACAAATGGAACAAACTCGGCATTCGTGCTGAGAGGTAAGACGGAACACTTCAGGGGTGCTATGGTCGGAGGTAAGCTCAGAAATGTCCTTTGTTCATCCCCAACTCTTGTCCTAAAGTTATGCTCAAAGAGAGCATACATGACCCGACCAATTCCAAATGATGGTTCTATGACCGATGGTATTATCTCTTCTACATGTTCGGTTTTTTGATAACGTCGAATAGAAACCATGTCCTTTGCAATTTTTACCACTGTTCCATCAGACAATGTTAAGTTGTACTTCCCGTTTTCACTAATATCCTTTTCCATTGCTTCGATGCTGTCCTTGTCTAACGTAGCCAATGCATGCGTAACAACTTTAGCATTTTTCTTAAATGCTTTGCCAAGAATGTTTTTATATGGAGTAGCTTCTGTAAGTTCAATAGTACGTGGCTCAGCCAATTTCTTTAGTACCACTAGTTTTACACCTGTGGCTTTGGTATGTTGCGTCAGATCATATGCCGATCTATCTGCACAGCCCACGCATTCTATCCACCCATATGAAGTGAGGCACTCGGCATCCCAACAATCTGTAGCATAATGAGCCATCTCATTCCCCATGTGCTGTCGAAATCGCAGTTTCTGAGGATCGACACCTACTTTCAACAGAAATTGTTGAATTCTTGCAATGAAGTACCCTAACGTCTCATTTGCCACGAGCCCTGTTGCAACTGCGTCTCCAATTGTAGAGTACTGTGCACTTTTGCCATCCATTTGATTACAAGCAGAATAAAGAAGCAAAGTTGTATCTTTAACTTCCTCGAATTTTGGATGACTCTTATCCGTAGGATCACAGAAATGCTCAATCTCTGCCATAGTGAATTCTCTTACTCGAATAAGACCAGATCGTGGAGAGATCTCGTTTCTAAATGCATTCCCAATTTGCGCAGCTGCAAATGGCAGTTTCTCTTGATTGAATTCTAATAATCTCTTAAAATTCACAAAAATACCCTGAGCAGTTTCCGGTCTCAAGAAACCTTTTATCAACCCAGATGGTCCTATTTGAGTACCAAACATTAAATTAAACTCTATCGGCTCTGTCAGATCATTTCCAGAAATTGGTGATTTCATGTCATACTTTTTCAGCACTGCAGCCATTTCATTTTTAGACATGCCATCTAATTTAACTACAATATCTCTACATTCCTCACGAACAGATTCCTCGGTTTTCTTGTTAACTATGATCGTTTCTAAATGTGCTTTAATTAAATGGTCGAGTCTAAAGCATTCCCCAGACTTAACATCCTTTACCATCAAATCTGCAAATCGATCCACGTGGCCCGATGCCTTAAGTACTGGCTCAGGTGTCAGAATCGAACAATCAACTTCCAGCATTTGCTCCTCTAGTACAAAGAAGTTTCTCCAAACGCTTAATATGTTTGCTTTTAAAGCACAGCCCATAGGTCCAAAGTCATATTGACCTGTGATTCCACCATAGATTGCAAACGACTGATCAAAAAAGAATCTCCTTTTCAAGAGATCTTCCATCCTTGATCTATCAAATGTGGCAGAGTCGGGAACAAGGGATAACTCTTTTTCCTCCAATACCTTTTTGCGAACCTTAAGTTCCGCAACGGCTTTCTTAACATCCAATTCTGGCGCTCCATCGGCTTTCAGTTTCCGAACCAAATCTCCCTGAAGAAATAGATCACCCAAATTACATCAAATTTATACATTATCTTCATTCCATTACAATCTCACAAAAGGCTTTATCGTTATATTGCGCAATACACTGATTATAATAATCTTCCCAAAACATTAAAAAAAATATTGTCCATTACCTTATAGATATTACATTAATGTCATACAATAATACAATTAAATAAGGATAATCTATTTTTAAAATATCTTTGAGAAACAGTAAAACGTGGCGGCGTTGAATTTTTTGGTTATGTTACAACACGCCGAATGTGTCAAATTTTGTATCCATATGGCCGACCTACTTGTTCTTTGACACTTGCTCTCAACGGAGCCAGTTCTTCCTCGATTTTGGGATTCGTCATATCGCACGGGAACCGTAATTTCACTTTTCGATGTTTTTTAGCCGAGCCCCAGTTAAAGGTACGAAATAAGTTTCCGCTAGCCGAGAAATTCCTTAAACACCACTCGCCACTTCGTGCAAAGCCGATCTCTCGATGCGCTAACCTGCACGCGGCTTGCACAGCGTTAGTAAAAATCCGCATTCGCAGGACTTCTACCTTTTCCCCTATAAACCAGCGCCAAGTGGTCTGGTAACATGAAACTTATTGTAAAATATAAATGAAATTCCAGGGCGCTGCGTCCTAGAGTCCGTCCCTGAGCAAAGGCGCGTTCCGAAGAAACTTCATTAAAGAACTGTTTTCATAGCAGAATCATTCCTCAAAATTATTCAATAACTATTCAACAATCTTTATCGTAGCAAATTACAATCCTGGTAATACAAAATTTAATTTCATTACGTTTAGGATCGACATACATCGGTGTACATTTTATCGATATAGGTTATGAGTCAACCATCCGCCATTACTGCCGCGATATTTAAACGACAAGTTTTCATATTCAATGTCATGCTGTTCCATATTATGACTAAAGTGAACGCTTGTATCATAAATGTGCCGAATACGAAACTTTACTTAACCCGAGCTACCTTATCCGCGTCTTATAAATACACATTCGTCGTAATTAAAAGCAGCAGTATCGTAAATGATATGACTGCGCTACGCTGTGCGTTGTTCCTCTCCATCATTCTACGTAACCATCTAACGTAATAATCAACTCGGGTATAAACACCCGGGGAATTAGGAAATGCACAGCCTCGTCCCCAAGACACTACTCCCATCTGCAAGCCTTTGCACAAAAGTGGACCACCGCTATCGCCCTTAAAATAATTAATATTTAATGCAAAATATAGAAATAATCTAGTATGGAGATTATGAAAAATATGAGAACATAAGAAAACCGACCTGGCAGGAATCCACCCCACCTTCTTTTCTTCCCGCACACACTTGAGCCTGCAAATGGAGATTTTTAACACTGCAATGTTTGGCAGGGATGGAGGGAATCAGGGCATGATGTAAAATATCCCCAGCTCCTGTCTGTATTACAATATATAAGTAAATTCCAATAATTAGAACATACTGTATACTACAATGATTAAAAATATGGAAAACACGTACATCTTGTCCGTACGACAGCCGACCCCATCCAATAATTGTGCAGAGATATTCTAACTCGTCGAAGAAATGATCAAAATACTGCTTCGGAAGCGTCAAATATTGCACGTGGCTGTTGATCTGGAATGGTTTCGAGATCTGGAATGAGGTTTAAACAAATTTTTAACTCAAGATACTCAAATCTCCTCACTCGTTCTCTGAACACTCTCTCAGAAAAGGACTCAGCCGCAGGAAATGAAAATTTACATGTAAAATAGTTTGGCCCGAGGAAGGATTAAAGAGTAACGATTCCTTTTCCAGCAGCGTGGCTACCTCGCATAAATTCCGTTTACCCTGAATAATCCGATGTCGTGATACATGTGATGAAACCTGAATGCCGGGTGTGGCAACACTTTGTCAATTAATCTTATTTGCATTGTAGATCCATGAAGACTGTATACACTGGTTGATCCTGCCACGGCGATGAAACGTCGCGGGCTGAGAGTGACCCACGAGGGACCAAAACTGGCTTTTCTGAAATGGATTAGATAATTCCGTTTACCGAAGGTAAGTGAGATCGCCCTGGTATTTTCCTTTTGCATACCTGACCATACAGTGAGCGGCAGATAAAATGAAACTGGGATGAATATACGTTCCTCCGCATACATGATGACCATATCGCAGTTGAATGGACACCTACGACATTTTATTCGAGTTAATTCCCACGAGGATAATATACACGCTCCTTGGAACTAAATCACCGAATATGAATTTTTTCAAACGTTTAATGAGTTATATATTATATATATTATATAATTCATTAAGGCTTACGACAAATGGATAATTTTTAATATTGGCTTCCTCTCCGCCAATAATGCGCGGCCCGGTCTCCGTGCCTCCCTTGGTAGAATTCGTCTTTGTCAAGTTCCTCGTAATGGAACTGTCGACAGTGACAAGGAAAAATACGTAAATACAGACCGTTTTAAATGACATTTTTCCTCCCCTCCCGCATGTAGAAAGGAGCGGAAATTCATGCGTTCACTTCCTCTGTTTCAATTTCCGGATGCTACGATCTCGCGATCGGACGCCGAACTTCGAGACTAAACAGGAAATCCCATTTTAATCCTCGGTCGCTAAAATAGTAAGTTATAGTTTCATGAATTTCTCTGATCCATTATTATTGCAACCGATAAAGTAGAAGTGCGGGAGAATCTTTCATATTAGTTTACCGTATCTAGAAATGTCAGAACTCACGCTCGCTCTTCCGTATTGACTTATTACGCAATATTCTTTATTTCCTAATCTCAATAAGATACCTAAAAATATTAAGGGGATGTGAAAGTGACATTTGAAGAGTCAATCCTTCATGAAACTTTCCTCTTAACTGGATCTGCCAAATCGTCTCAACCTTTACAACGTGAACGTGGAGGCTAAAAGGAAGGTCTTGGCACTCGGAAAATTTCATTTTCTATAAAAAATGTTGAAAGTATACATAAACTAGTTAAAACAAAAATTGAAATGGGTGCGGCACCTTTCTTATACTCTCTAGATTAACATTGAAACGTTTGAAACGATTCGGTACACTCGGTTCGGAGAAAGGTTTCATAAACGAGACCTATTTGACGTCACACTCACATCACCTTAAGGGTCATTACGGAGATTTAAAATTCTTTGGTGTACCGCAAGAAACACCCAAGGAACAATAAACCAATACGCATTGAGGTCGTTACGATGATTGTACACTTTTATAGTCTTCGATTCTTACGTACATATGTTACACAGTAATTAGACTATAGCAATTGACATTTATAAAGGAATGATTCTGTACACTCCACAGAGTATACACATTATTGTAGGCAGCATGAACCCCTGGCGAGCGTTCCGTGCCGGCGACGATATGTCAAGTACCGCTGGGATTATTTGCACTGAAACACGGTAAGGGGATTTTAATAATTACACAGAAGCGAATTACCGGGTGGTACCGGCGACTCATATTACCTGACACGGTCCTCGATCTAAAATCAGCGTATTGCTTGTGAGTAATCGGGTAATCCGGAATCGTTGACTGGCAACTTATCTCCAAATGACCATTCTCCCCAGCATGTAACTCCGACACCTGTATCTTCAGCTTTGCCGTGGACGACATCAAGCCATAGTTATGCTGCTTGTGTGGATAGACAGTCACTAGAGTGACGTCCACCTGAAATAAAAATGAAAACCAGTCATTTATAAAATCGAGCGAAGGCCATAAAATGAGAAAAATTCACCGTGGAAATATAATTATATACCTCCCTATAAATCTTCAAGATTTCATCGACTTTTACTTAAATTTATTCCAAATTACAGAAATATCTATTTAATTGAACATCAAGTAAGATTTAAAAAGTAATTTCAAGTATGTACACGGATTAGAAGTCCCTAAACCACCGATATCTGATCTCGTTACTCTCATAGATTAAATTTCATAGATTTCCATTTAAATATTCTTTCTCGAGTTTTTGTAGTTCTTTAAATAAACTTGTAACCTTTTTTTTGGCATCAAAGGTGTTTGTTGTAAAGACAGACAATCACCAGAGTGACGATCACCTGGATGATACTTCACAGGTGTATGCATATTACTACATGACGCTTCGGGACGCTCAATATCTTGGAACTATTTCTGGGTAAGTTTTTCGATAAAATCCATTAATGATGGTCCATGTTTTACCTCCTTCCCGTTAATGAGCCAGGTCAAGTAAGGAACTGGTCGCGCCGGGGACGAGGTGCAGTTCGCCTCTAGGTATTCCCCGACCTCGTAAACTGCCTTCTTAAACGTAATCTGTGGATTATCAGTCTGTGTTACTGAAACAAGGGAAAAGAACTTCCGTTAAATCTCGGCGGCAGGAACGATACACCGAGAAAAACAATTTTTTCCATTCAAGGAAATTATCTCTCCGAATGAAATGAAAGAAACTGTAGCGTAAAACCACTGAAATACAGTCTTCACTACAAAACTACCGAATATTTAACGCCATTGCATTGCATTATTCGAATACTTCATATCTTGAAATAATAAAATAAGATATCGAAAATATATTTCATTTTTTAAAGTCCGTTCAAAGAAATAATTTCCTTGAAAAGAAAAAAAAAATGTCTACACCGACATTTTTTTCCTCAGTTCAATGAAATTAGATATGATTTCATACCTAATAAACCATACCTTTCAATGGATCGAATAAAATATTCCACCAAGTTATTCGTTGTAACTTAACGCGTTAGTTTTAAAGAGATTCGCAGATTATCATTTCTTTGAATGTAAAGAAAATATTTCTTTCAGGTAATTACATGTTCTTTCTACGAAAACACTGTTGTTTGACCATTAGCATTATTTAAAGGAATTTATTCTCTCAGAACGAAAATCGTTATCTCGTGACATTTACCGATGACCTGCATTTGTACGTCGTTGGACGCCTTCGCGTAGATTGGTGTCGCCATCGACACCTCGCAGGAGTATGTTCCGGATGCATCAAAGGTGACATCCTTCAATTTGATTGTCTTGCCATCAGGCGAGTACTGCAAAACGACATCCTCGTTACGCATCGCTAATCAAGGAAAATTTCCATAAATGTGCCATAATGAAAGCAGTCCAAATCATTCTTGTTACAAAAAAGCTAACTTGACCCTACTGCATTTTAAACGTATACAACACGAAATATGGAAAAAATTAATTTCTTATTCATTTTTTACTGGCATTACGTAAATTTCCATAGCCGTTTTTATCAGTGTACGTGAACCTGTTAATTTTTTGATAACTCATCAAATGACCAGCAGTAAATTCAATACCATTCAAGTATAATCGATAAACCCCGAATTCAAAAATCGGTGAACGTCAAAAATCGTCAGCTTGGACGAAGTTTAAAGCCTACAAGGGTGGGTTCATCCCCCATTCATGGGTTCCAGAGTTAATAAAGCTCATTTCGCATTTTCAGGGAGAACTTGCATTACGTAAATTTCCATGGGCATTTTTATCAGTGTACGTGAACCTGTTAATTTTTTGATACCTCAGCAAATGACCAGCAGTAAACTCAATACCATTCAAGTATAATCGATAAAATCCCGATTCAAAGATCGATAGACCCCAAAAATCGTCATCTTGGACAAAGTTTAAAGCCTACTAGGGTGGGTTCATCCCCCATTCATGGGTTCCAGAGTTAACAAAGCTCATTTGGCATTTTCAGGGAGAACTTGCATTACGTAAATCTCCATGGGCATTTTTATCAGTGTACGTGAACCTGTTAATTTTTTGATAACTCAGGGAATGACCAGCAGTAAATTCAATACCATTCATGATCGATAAACCCCCAACTTAAAGGCCGGTGAACCTCAAAAATCGTCAGCTTGTACGAAGTTTAAAGCCTACCGGGGTGGGTTCATCCCCCATTCATGAGTTCCAGAGTTAACAAAGCTCATTTCGCATTTTCCGCGAGAACGTGCAGAAGAGGAAATCCAATTTCCACGGAAAAGGACGTGACACAGTGACCCGGGTACATTGAAATCACCTCGAGCACCGCGCCGGTCATCTTAACCGGCATCGTAAACTGCGTGTTCCGGTCCTTTATATACTGGAGTATCTTCTTGTCATCCTTGACGAACTCGATCTTGTGGAGGTTGCTCTCGGGCACCGTGTGGTTGCAGTAGAGGCTCGCCGTGTTACCGTACTTGACGTAGCGCGGTGCAACAAGCTGCACGTGCACCGTGCTCGTTGCGTCTAAGGGCAGTACCGGGTCCACTTGAGTGTCTCTTTAGATTCAAGGGAGCCCGTCAATGGAACGGCCTGGGCTCACGTGACCGACCTGACGAGAGCCTCTTACCCCTAGGAGGTCGACTCCGTTTTTTAACCGGGTCTGCGAGTCACCCTAAGTCCTACCGTAAGGTACTCTATCGATCAGGGCGCGCGGGCACTCGAACGCTCCTTTGGCCCTCGAAGGTGCATTACATGTGAGGAAAATTTCGAGTTTAACGCCCGACCCAGGACACCTAATGGCAAAATCATTCCTCGACTGTGTAAGGGACACAAACGCGTGGTTCCAACGTGCCACTTGCGGCCGGGCCATTCCCTATCGATCGGGACACGCGTGTACTTGGAGACGTCTCCGACTTGAGGAATATTATCCTAGCTCTTGGATGGGGAAATAAAATGACAAATTAAAGGGCGGTATCGATCTAAGGAATTAATAAACGATTTTTGGTGACGTCTCCGACTTTAGGAATACTGTCGCCCCTCATAGGAGGAAAAATAAAATATTGAATCTGAATTAAAGGGGTGATATCGATGTAGGAAATGAATTAACGCGATTCTTGGAGACGTATCCCACTTGAGGAATATTGTCGTAGCTCTTGGCTGGGGAAATGAAGTGTCTAATTAAAGGGTGATATGTAGGAAATTAATTAATCGAAACAAGCGTGTACTTGAAGTCCTCTTAGATTCGAGAAATATTATCGTGTCTCTTAGGAGGAAAAATGAAATATCGAATTAAAGGGGTGACATTGATTTAGGATATGAATTAATCGAAACAGGCGCGTATTTAAAGACGTCTCCGATTTGAGACATTTTATCGTGCCTCTTGCACGGAGAAATAAAATGCCGAATTAAAGGGGTCATATCAGTGGAAGAAATTAATTAGTAACAGTCACGCACTGTCTTATTGCAGCCAGAATACCCTATTGACCAATATACGCGTATATTCTTTGACTTTTACAAAATATGTGAACAATTTCGATGAATGGATTATGAGTGTTCTATTACTCGTAGAGGATCTTAAATAAAATAGAAAATAAGACGTTCAGAGAATCAAATATTTGCGTTTATGTGTACAAGACTGTTGGTTTAGAGATAGAGCTCGGGAAACACGAGCATGAATGGAACGAAACGAGGAAATATCGGGGGAATGTTGGGTGCATAAGTTGAGCATGTACATTTGAGTGAGTTTCGTCTAAATCAATAAATTACCGTCCTGTCTCGACTAGGTCTTACTGTGTCAATCGGTATATATGCACTGCTCCAGATATCAAGAACGCACCGAGCTTCAAGAAAGCAGTCCTTTCTATATCAGTTTCCAAAACGGAGCTAGAATCTAACAGCCTCTAATTGGATCAGCACGAGAGAAATTCATCTAGCAGGTCCATTAACACAGAAACGTGCACCGACATTTCGGAAACCCCAGAGAAACTCCAATATCCATTAAAACGTTTTATTAATATCTGCGCCATGATCCGTATCGATAATAATTCAGTAAATCCAAAATGACTATCAAACCTATGGACCATTTAATTAAGAAGATCATGACTGAAAACCTTCTGGGCAACCAAGCAGAAAAATGGAAAAACAGATAAAAAGGGAAAATCAAATTGCAACCCAGTTTATCTCCAAAACAGAGAGCCGGGATCCCTGAAGAGTACACATCAAATTAAATAAATGGAAGAGGAGCGAATAAAAACGAAGAAAAACAGAAGAAAATTCTTCAGGGACGTTTGAAAACGAAAATAACCTCTACAAAGTTAATGAAAAAAAAATAAAAATAAAAAACTCCAGATAATCTAGAAAAATGAAAAATAAAGAGCAAGTACGCCCAGGTCGGCGGATAAATAAAAATAGCACGGAACCTCAAAGAGAGCACCAGGATAGTACGAGCTAGGCGATGACGTCAATGAAATATTGAATCGCGGCGCGATGCTCACCGGCCCTGACCGTTCCGAGGAGCAACAATACGAGGTCACGGCTATCGGGGGTACGGGCCACCGGGTTGGATTTGGAGCCCGAAAACGGATGAAAATCTTCCCATTGAATCGCCGCAGCCGCAGCTCGAAAACACCCATTCAGTTAGAAGGCATTGATTGATTTTGGTCGACGGTCAATTATTGGCAACCACTTGTGAACGTTTCCTGACACTCGGCTGAGGCTACGTGTTGCCATCCTTCTGTTGCTCTCCGCGGACAGGCGGAGGGTTTTTTTTTTTCGGCAAGGACGTTTTCCGCGTTTGCCGGCATCCTCGAAATTCAGGGCGAATTACCGGTCTCCATGCGGCACGTACCCCCGAGAGCCTCCCCGTCGTCGGACTTACATGAAAATAATTGAAAAATATATATGAATACGATCTCTCTCCATGCAGCTCGCTGGCGTGACATTATTCTCGGGTTCTGTGTATGTGTGTGTGGATTGACTCGCGGTTACCGTATCTTAAACTTCCTACAAACTCTAGTTAGGTATTCTTTTTTAATGGAAACGTGCGTCTATATTATACAGTGTGTGCCTTTAAACTACGCAACTTCGTGCCGAGTCGGCGCTACAACTGGGGAGAGCCAGGCTTTCGATCGCTCGGCCGCCCACCTCCTTTTCGACGGAGTCTGCGCCAATTTTGAACTCGCGCATCCGACACTCCTGCCAGGACGAGCGCGAGCGATCCTTGCGGCCGCTCGCGGGGTGGCGCTCCCGAAGCTTCGTTCGCTCGCCACCGAAGGGAGCCACCCGTGGCTGGTACCGACCGGGCGCCGAGCCGCGAAATTCGAATCCCTCGGCGACGATTACGAACATTCTGGAGAAAAACGGTAATGCTCGTCAGATTACAATCACAATATTAAGGGTATTATTTTTATTGAACGGTCAGATTTACCTTAAATCCTTCGTAGGGTCACTTAACCTTTTCGGAATCTCTTTGCATATATATATATATATATATATACACACATACGGGATGGACGAAACGTAAGAATGATCGGTTACATCCAGTTGTATATCTTAATTTCAAAGCTGCTTCCAGGACAACGGTTCCCTCGTATAGGAAACGTTTCCAGGATGTGGCAAACAAAGTTGAGACTGCATCTGTCGACCAGGTGAGATGTTTTCGTAATGTTGGACCTGATGAATGTCGTAACTGTGGACGTTATCTTCAGCAATAGTCTCATCGATCAGGATTATATCCTTGGCTTGCATGTCCTGCCTCGTATTCATGTAAGTATATTCTCTTTCGAGACCTTCCACTTGCTCGGTAAGAGCTACGTTGATCTGTTCATTGTTTCGCAGAAGAAAATCTTTGTTTTTCCTCGCTCTGCGGAGATCTTGGACTGCTTCGCCACTTTCCTCGTATTTTGAATCAAAATAATATGGCGGATTCTTTTGGGTATCTAAATCTTGACGTGTTACAGGCTTCTGTGGATCGATTATCTTATCGGAACAATTATCACGCGCTGCGCTAGTATATGCTATGCTTGTACAATCTGGTACATTGCAACTTATTTGAGATCTATTAAGATTTGAATTCCTGCTAATCGCATGGCCTAGGGTACTACAAGACTCCACATACGCAGTACAACCATCGTTCGAAGGATTAATGATATTGCACAAATCATCGGAGCATGAACGAGAATTATAATTCCCAGATATCTCTTGAGTACTATGGACATCACTTACATTGTCGTTAATGACAACCGTTTCACAGGACTTTTCTACGTGTCTTATTATATTAGTTTTATGAAAATTATTCGTCTTTTCCTGATCTAAATTGGTATACAATTTATTTGAAGGTTCTTTTTGCAGATCGATGCAAACGCTCTCATGTTCCATGTATTGCAGTGAATTGGTAAATTGTATCATACAAATCTTACATTCGTACGTCTTGATTTGGGTGAAAATCTCTGTGTGATGAACATCTCGATGATGTAATAGAAAGCTTTTGATGTCATCGAAGGTGTATCGACAGGTCGCACACAGGAATGTTCGATGCTGATTATCATTTAGATGTTTTCTCATGTGTCTGCGAATATAATCTCGACGTTTAAAATCGCCTCCACATACCACGCATTTAAATGGAGCCTCGTCAGAGTGTAATCGCATGTGATGCTTTAGGCCATGTCTCATGACCATGTGACACTCTGGACATTTTTGTGGTTTTTCTCCAGTGTGTCTCATCATGTGCAGACGTAGGGAACCTCTGGAATAGAATTGAATTATATAATAAAGCCTGGAATATACCAATATTATTCATAGAGTTATGTATTAATTGTCAATTTCTTCCTATTATTTATATTTTGCTCACAATGTTCATACAGCAATTTTAATTTACCTGGTAGTAACTCTCTTTTCACAGATGCTGCACGTGAATTTAGGAGGTGCACGTGGAAAATGCAGCATGTAGTGACGACGCATAGCAATGCGTTGCTTGAAAGCTTTTCCACACAGATCGCAAAGATGAGGCCTCTCTATTGCATGTATCTTTTTGTGCAAGTAAAGACTGTTCGGTGAAATAAATCTGAAACATTCATTTGCCTAATAACGATGCATTCATATAAATATTTTCAAAATAAACACAAATAGAATTCTTACAATTTCCCACAGATCTTGCACTCATGCATGTCTACCATTGATTCAGTGGTATGCTGTTTTAAAATATGTTCCCTTAACGATTTCTGAGGCTTCATTAAGCCACAATATTCACACAAACAGTTTTTTGCCCCAAGCAATACATGTGCAGTCCTTTCGTGTTTCCTTACTTCGGAACTTGTCTCAAATGATTTGTGACATTGTCCACACTTTGTATGAAAAAACCCTTGCTTTCTTTCCAATCTATGTAGCTTCTGATGTGATTTTAACCGAAGGACACTCATTGTGATGAATTCACAAGAATTGCACCTGTAACGAGATAAAGTTCAAATACAAGATTACTTCCATGGTTCTTGTCCATCTATAGAAATAAATACCTGTGCAAATGTCGATTTCTTTTAGGCATAGGCCAATGAAAATCATCATCTAATCTGACATTGTCTTCAAATATATCTTCTTGAGAGACTGGATCTGGTCCAGGATCCGCTGGAAGATCTCCTCCAGGCCAGGATCTTGGTGAATGTCGCAATGGAAACCTTTCATTCCGACACTCTTTCTTTTGAGGTTTCATCATGTGCCTCATTTTATATTCAGCAAATGTTTCGATAGTTTCATTCTTAGATTCAGAAGACCTATTGCTGCCTGTTGCTTTACTACATGTATGTTGTTTCAGATAAGAAAAGAACAATACTCTATCCTCTGCTGAGAAGATTTTAACACTTTCTTCGCAATCAGAACACCTTAAAACTTCTATAGGGATTTTCGATGCACTCTTACAGGCAGTGCTATTTGCAACACACAAAACAACATTGCTATTCTCTTGGAGAGACGAATCACTGGAGTCATTGCTCAAAATACTTGTTTTCCAAGGAACTATGTAGTTACTTCTGTTTGAACTCCCGTTAGTCAGTAACTGTACTCCAAATGTTTGACCTACCGAGGTATTACAAAGAATGCTATTTAAATTATTACAACTTGACGATTCTATAACAGGACAATTACTCCTACATTCAACTGCACTTATGCCTTTATTTTGTGGATTGCACTCGATATTCTTTTCATGCAGTTCATCTTTAATCTCTGAATGTTCATATAAAATTGAAGAACTATTTTTATGTTCTGATATATTGCAATCATTGGAAGGTTTTAAAGTACTACATTCACTTGTGGCTACGTCTGCTTCATTTTTGTCATTTGTTTCAGCTGATATGGCTTCTTTAGTCATAAGCTGCAAAAGCTTACTTTCTTGTAATTGTTCATTACGATTAAAATAGTCATTAATTTTCCTTTTCTGGCCATTTATAAATAAGGGAGATCCAGTCCTCTGCTCAGTTTCCTCATGAAAATTGCTCTGTAACTTAGAGCTACAATCCGGTAGTTTAATGACATTTTCAACATGCTCGGAATCACCGTTCCCATAGCATTCTTGTGTAATCATCTCTTCACTTTCACCATTATTTAATATTTCTATGGAACTTTTATGAGTATCACAATCAGCATTATTCTTTAAATGCTTTTTATTATTTCTCGCAGCAACATTGCTGGTTTTCATTAATGGTACAGTCTTATGATCCTCCCTCTAAAAACAAACCAAATGTTACTCACATATTTCTGAAAGAAATAATATAATGGTTCTTCTGTATCTACCTTTTTTAGAAACTTATTGAGTATTCTATCCGATGTGACTACAATATCAAAGAACTCATTGGTAGCATTAACTCTACGTAGGCACATGATGCAAATGTTTAAAGGCAGGTTGTCCTTCTCGGTAACCTTTATAGGAAGATGACCATTGATGCTTGCTTTAAGATTAAGCGAGGTTCCTCTAGTGCTAAATATCTTTATCAACTTTTCCTCTCTGTACGTTTTGGCACACAGCCTACATGTCACTGAGAAGTTGAAAGTACGCACCATGTTGTGGCGTATGTATTTAATTAAATCAACATTTCCCGTCTTTTGTACACAATGTGACAGTCTTGAGAATACTGACAGATGCTACAGGTATTACAAAGCATACCTTTCATTACAAAATGTTACATTGGCCACTGTGAACTAACAAGACGCTCTGTAAAATGTCAAGTTAATATTTCAAATCACATTTTTCAAGATTACAAGAAATTCCCTGCAAAATAAACAGTAAAACTTCGGTACTCGCCTTAAACGACGTAAAAGACATTTCATCTTCCTGACTCAGAGGTTAAGTGTTAGACGTTAATTCTTATATTCTGTAATTGAACATAAAGGCGATGAATTCACACGGACGTAGACAATCATTTTCTCTCGGTTACGAAGCGAAATTTTAGAAACAGTTCCTCCGAAATGCCGGAGCGCTTTTAGTTTTGTGATTTTGCGTAGATGCGGAACAAATTTACAATTGCAGAAAACTCCATCGCTGCCATCGCTGCTAACTGATAACAGATTTAAAGATAGGATAATTCCCGCCGAGGCTTCACTTTTTCTCTTAATCCAATAGTTTTCGGTTCGTCCGATTTCATGGATCACGCGCGGCGTCACCATGTCTGTTTACGTTACGGCGACTTACCCTGCTTAAGTTAGATTAAGTTCCGTAATAAAATTAAGCCGAAGATAAAGGGCTTTATTTTGTTTATCAGGGAATAATGGCTACCCGTGAGGAGGATGACGGCGAAGATTTACAATCCCCGATATTCACATTTCCTCCGAGTGTGCAGTCTGTCATTGAACAGGTTAGGTTGTTCCATATGATACTTTTAGGGAAACGTCAAATGAAAAGCCTATAAATGGAATCATTTTTTCACGAACGTTAGAAATGTTTCATCCCATCTATTTTAAAGTTTATCTTCTACACAATCATGATCAATTTATTCGTTTAGTAATTAGAAGTAAATATAAAATTATTTTAAATGTATGCAGAGCTTTCAAATAGATTTAAATCAATGGTAACCTAAACGATTGTGCTGTATGGAATTGTACAATAAAGCTAAGACACGTACATTGAAAAGAATAATTCCTAATTAAGGTATTTAAATTTTAGGTGTTGCCAAGCAACGATCCACTTGACCAACCAAACTTCAACGTTGTGGATTACATCAATTCTTTATTTCCCACTGAACAATCGTTGTCCAATATAGACGATGTAATCAGTAAAATGGAATTCAAAATTTGCTGTATAGATAAAGAAATTAGATCTGTAGTTCGCGGTCAAACAAACGTGGGGCAGGATGGAAGAGCGGCGTTAGAGGATGCCCAAAAAGTAATACGGCAACTGTTCGTTCACATAAAGGATATTAAAGATAAGGCTGAGCAGTCCGAAGAAACAGTGAAAGAAATCACAAGGGATATTAAACAATTAGATTTTGCTAAGAAGAATCTCACTTCTTCGATTACAGCATTGAATCATCTACATATGCTTGTCGTCGGAGTGGATAGTTTAAAGTGAGCAATACTGTAATTATTAATTCATTGACTAGTTCAGTGTCGAGTGCTGCTCAATTGTAAGGCCCTCTTGGATACATACTAATAATGCAAAGTATAGATAACAAAATTGATTTTAGAGAATTAACACAGAAGAAACAGTATGGTGAGATAGTGTTGCCATTACAAGCAATTATGGAAGTTATGCAACACTTTAATAATTATATGGACATACCTCAAATAAAACAACTATCCGATGAGGTAAAAAAGCAATAGCAATAATATATTACATTGTACTATATTTGACATTTAACTATTATTATATTAATCTTAAAATAGGTCCATCAAATTCACATCGAACTGGCTCAGCAAATAACATCGGACTTCAAAGAAGCATTCTCTGGACAAAATGCCAAGCACTTCGCTCAATTGACTGAAGGTTGCCTGGTACTTTCTGTTTTGGATCCAAAAGTTAAGTATGTAATTTGTGACATTTTACAAGACTCTGCGTTACAGTATACTAACTGCTATGCTTCTTAAAGGAAAGACCTGCTCACCTGGTTCGTAGGCATCCAGTTGCATGAGTACTGTCAACTCTTCGAAGAGAATCAGGAATTTGCGTGGTTGGACAAAATCGATCGGCGATATGCATGGATCAAGAAACACCTTCTTGACTTCGAGTCTAAGTATGGTACGATTTTTCCGCCCGACTGGGAAATCTCTGAGCGTATAGCCGTGCAATTCTGCCACGTAACGCGCGAGAATCTCACTAAAATAATGTACAAAAGGCGGTCGGAAATAGACGTCAAATTATTGCTGTACGCGATTCAGAAAACAACCAACTTTGAAAATCTACTGGCCAAAAGATTTTCCGGCATTACCTTGGAGAGTCTTGATACTCAAATGAAGCCTAAACCTGCACCGGTTAATGTACTTGAAGAAAAAGTGTCAGGAAATCCATTTGAACAAGACACGGTAGTAAGGGTAATTGTCTAATAATAATTAGCTAACTAGGCATTTCTATAATGAGCTCTAACGAATTACTTATTTTTTTTACAGACCGTGCCGGAGAAGCCTCCACCCTCACAATTTGCAAACTTAATAGGAAAATGTTTCGAACCATACTTGTACATCTATATTGAAAGCCTGGACCGAAACTTAGCAGAATTGGTTGAAAAGTTTGTCTCCGATTGTAAAAATCAGCCACCTGGGGGAAAAGACCTCGACTCTGCAGAAGGTCCCAGTAGCGTTCTCTCTTCTTGCGCCGATTTGTTCGTTTTCTACAAAAAGTGCATGCTACAGTGTACGCAACTCAGCAATGGTTCCATTATGTTAAATCTCGCCGAAACCTTCCAAAAATATCTGCGCGAGTATGCTCTAAAGCTACTGCAGAACAATTTACCAAAGTGAGTGAACCATTATTGCGAGTGAAGATTAATTAACCGTACTTTTAACAAAGTGATCATTTTCTTATACAGAATCGGGGGCAGCATAGGAATCACTACAAGCATGAGTAACATTACTCGCGACTTTCGGGATTTATCAACCGCAGGACTGATACAAAACTTTCAAAGTCTCTTAAAAGAAGGTGAAAGTACCAGATTTAGCAGAGAGGAACAGTCTCGAGTTTGTTGGTGAGTTTTCTAATTAATATGTTCAGAGTTTGATTATAAACTTAAGAGACCATCTCATAAGCAATTATTCTCATTATCTTAGTATATTGACGACTGCCGAATACTGCCTTGAGACGACCCAACAGTTGGAAGAAAAATTAAGAGAAAAAACAGATAAACGTTACGCAGAAAAGATCGATTTATCCCAAGAACAAGACATTTTTCATAAGTAATCATAATTACGTTTTTTTCACCTATTCTCTTATGCTGGAAATTTTCTCTAATCTTCCTTCCTTTTCAGTGTGATATCTAATTGCATTCAGTTACTGGTTCAAGATTTAGAAACCGCATGCGATTCAGCTCTGACAGTCATGACAAAGGTACAGATAAGTGCGAGTAAGATGATTACTATATTGAAAGCTTACTAATAATCAATATGCCTAATGAGACTACATTTTGTGCCAGATCCAATGGAGTGCTATCGAAAGTGTCGGGGACCAAAGTGGTTACGTGAGCACAATAATCGGACACCTTCGTCAAACTATTCCTGCAATTAGAGATAAACTGTCTTCGTGTAGAAAATATTTCACCCAATTATGCATAAAGTTTGCCAGGTAAGCATCATCTAGGAAATTATTTGACTCTATTCGGACACAAACGGTTTCATTGACATTTTATTTCAGTTCTTTCATTCCAAAATTAGTGCAACAATTATTCAAGTGCAAACCAATGAATGCGGTAGGGGCAGAACAGCTGTTACTAGATGTTCATATGTTAAAGACAGCTCTTTTAGACTTACCATCTACTGGCTGTCAAATTCAAAGGAAAGCCCCTGCAACCTATACTAAGGTAATCATGTAGTACTCACCGTAACTAACTGAATTATATGTTTATTCAATTATTGTGATTCATTTGCAGGTAGTTGTCAAAGGAATGGCAAAAGCAGAGATGATTTTGAAAGTTGTAATGTCACCAACTGACTCCCCAAGTGCTTTTGCAGACCAATGTCGAAAACTCTTACCAGATTTACCAACTGCAGAATTTCAGAAAATATTGGATATGAAGGTAGGGTTAATTAGGATTCTAAAATGAAATTTATTGCAATTACTAATAATTGCAATATTCAGGGATTAAGGAAAACGGAACAGATGCAGTTAGTGGAACATTTCAAACAAAGTGGCAGCTCTGAAATCTCCAGGGATACCAAAAGTGATTCTATCCCGGACAGTCCAGAACACGAAGCTGGTAGAATAAAAAGACTAGAAAAATTAATTAAAAAAAGAATTTAAATGTCTGTATATAAATGTACAGTATTGTTGTAATTTTTATATATGTATATGTAGGCAATTATAACTGTAACCAATAGAAAACGATAATAAACCGCTCGCATTATACTTTATCTGTTCAGAGTTCTCTTATATCAAAGATTTTTTAAAATATAATCCATGTGATTTTCAGTAATTTTTTCTTAAAGACATTAAAGGACAAAATATAAAAGTTAAGTTGGTGTCGTTTATTAAACGGCCATGTGCATTTACAATACGTGATCTTGTTAACAGTTATTTCAGCCTTGCTTCTGAGCAAGTTCCTTAGCTTTGGCCTTCTCCAGCTTAGCTATTCTAGCCGCAGACTTACTACCAAGAAGACCACCTCCCCAGTGACGCCTAATCTCATCATGACGGTCATTGAAGTTCGTCTTAATGGCTTCAATAACTTTCGTGAAATTGGCTCTATCTCCAGAGTCAACCTAGAAAAAAAGAGAAACAACATTACAAAAACGTCCATTTTTGTTTAACAATTTTAAATATAACGGGTGCAGTCAGTTAGACACTGATTCATATCATAGAATTCATTGGATTGGCTCATATATTACATCATTTCAAACTAGATCGAAGAATATTCACAATTTCCATTCTGTAATTATAATATGATATAGAATACCTGGGTAAGAGCAACTGTTGTACAGGTCTTGCGTCTCACAAGCCTTCCCAATCGTGCCTTGCCTTTCACGATGCAGTATGGTACTCCCATCTTACGACACAGAGCTGGCAAGAAAAGAACCACCTGTTCAAAAATGTTAAAATTAGTTATCTCCTTAAATAAATTTTTACTAAAGAGCTAATGAATAGGTATTACTCAGAGTCAATTCTCATCCTATGGACAAGAAAGTCTAACTTTCTATTCCTCAGGTGAAGAAATTCTAGCATCATTGTAATTATTTCTAAAATATTCAAATTACACTACATTTCTAAGATAAATGAGGAATTCAGACTAAATAAAGTATTTTCAATATTTAACAAACCTCGATGGGATCGACGTCGTGTGCAATAACAACCAGTTGGGCCTTTTTCTGCTCAACGAGGGTAGTCACGGTGTTAGTTCCGCTGCGTATAACATTTGGCCTCTTAGTAGGCACATCTTCCTTCTTCGCTACTTTTTCTTCAGCTCTAGCCTTCAACCTCATTTTTTTGGCTATTGCCGTTTCTGGACGGTACTTTTCCAGAATTTTGAAGAGCTGTGTTGCTGCAATATTAACGTGGAAATTAAAAATATATATTCAGATGAATATCAATCACACAAGCTTCTTTATTTATACGTACCAGTTTGTTTGTCTAATGTCTGTGTAAATTGGTTGATTGGTGGTGGAACCTTCAGTCTTTTCTGCAATACAGCCCTTTGACGCTGAATGCGGATATACTTAGGCCATTTAACAAATCGGCTAAGGTCACGAGCAGGTTGAATGTCCTGGCCTAAAATCAGAATGATGTGCTTATTACAAAAGTGAACACATCCAATCTATTGAATTCTTAATACCAACAATAAATTAACCTCACCAATGCCGAAGTTACGGGTACGCTTCTCAAAAAGGGGATTTGTCTGCTTCTTTGGCTCAACTTTCTTGACCGCCAAAGGAGCAGCTGCTACTTTCTTTCCCACCTTCTTCTTCGGCTAGAATAGAATATAAGAAAAATTCGAACTCTTTACTGTTAAAATATACCTATAATATAGTACTCGACGAAAATGTAAAACAGTACCATATGTACTTTCAAAATAACCTCAAAATATAAATCGCCATTACGCGAGGTTACTCTCTAATGAATTAAACAGAATTTCAATAATAAATTGCAACTAATAAATCGAAAAACTAACAAGTTTAAAAAAATATATATTATTGATACGACAGCGAAACATGCCGACAGTTAACCTTCCTTATTTATGTTAAAACGGTACAATTTATATAAATATACAGTTTTTCAAGTAGCAAAAAAACATTACCTTCTTTTGTACCATTTTATCAGCTGAAAGTTACACGGATTCCTTAGTAATTAATGGAATCTCGAACAGTAAACTTCCGTAACGCGTTCGCCAAGCACGGCCTCTAACGCGCAAAGAGGAAGCCATCTTGGTCGGCCATCTTTGCTTTATGACAAGGCGCCATTTACAAATTGAAAAATCCAATATGAACCAACCCGACGGGTAGAAATTCATGACATCCGTGGAATTAATTCAATCGAAATTATTAGACTTTTTACATGTTTTAGTTTTTTTTTTTTTTTATAAGGACTCGAAGTAAATATGGTTATGTCGACAGCAATACTAAGAATGAATTTTCTTTTTATTTCTTTCCGTACAAAATTATACTCCATGGGCATGTAAAGAACTGTGTGATATTACAATATTGGACGGAGATGATAGACGTATTAAAACATCGCTGATTGTGTGTACTGCAACACGGAACGCGAATAACTGTGATAGACATTATTATACGAAAATTACTTATGCTTAATTATATATTTTACAATTCTTCAGTTAAATAGTAGAAAACGTCAAAGGATCGTCCTCGTCTAATCGATCTAAGATGTCCATGTCAGCTTCTCGGTGTTTTTGTTTATGCGTTCTTAGTGATCCTGGTTGCGCAAATGTTCTTTGGCAAATGTCGCAGGCGTAAGGTTTTTCCCCCGAATGTATTCGCTCATGTCGAATTATGTGACTCTGATGGTGAAATCCCTTTCCGCAGGCTCGACATACATACGGTCTCTCGTTAGTATGCGTACGGCTGTGAGTTTTAAGATCGAACTTTTTGAAGAAACATTTGCCACAATGTGAACACACATGGTTTCGTTGCTTCAAATGGTCTCGCTTTACGTGTTCCTTAACGGGATGCATAATAGAATAATTAGAATGCGATAGAAAGTTAACAGTCTTATATCATCAACATGGATTTAAAGGGAAAAAGCAATTATTGATAATATAAGACACTTACATTTACTTGAGATAGAGTAGAATAAACCTTCGGGCAAATTTCACAAACAAACTTCTGTGGTCCATCGGGTCGATGATACATAGCAATATGTTTATTCAGGGTTGATTTCCAAGCAAATTGAATTCCACATTCTTTGCAGTGAAATTTTTGTTGATCTGTGAAGTGAGTGCCTATATGCTGTTTAAAGTTGTATCTAGTGGAAAATGATTTTGTGCATACAGTACACTGAAACTTTTTCACGGGTACTCCTGCATTTGGGACAGACGACTGCTCTTTTGCTTCCATTAAATCATTCGTCAAAGAGTCTACACCCAAACTGACCGAAGCAATCTCTTTTCTTTTTGGACTTCCTTCATTAGTTGGCATAATCGAATGTAAAGTTGTAATCGTATCAAGTTCCGGACTGCTTCCCAAACAATTTGCCGTGTCTGATTTTCGTCCACTTTGTTCTCTTGAAATATTTGTAGACTGATTCGCAAGCTTATCGGATTGGAATTCCATATTGTGGGTTTTATGCAAGTCCGAAGAGTCCCGAATCAATTCAAAAAATTGTTCCCCTTCTTCGTTTTGCACAAGGCGAACCATTGGTGCTTCTCCATCCGAATGTTTTTCTGTGCCAATCTCTCCAACATTTTCAGCATTATCCACGAACTCGAAAATTTTTTCCGCACTACCGTCAAAAGGAGCTTTTACAAAGTCTTCGAAATTGGATTTTTTATAATTTAAATTTAAAAAATGATCACCGTCACTTGTAGTCGAAACAACAAAATCTTGCATGTCAGAAGAAGTAATTTTATCGTCTAATTGAGCAAATTCTTGTAGTTCACCATCTTTGGTCTCCAGAGAATTATCTTTGACAAGGTCCAGAAATTGGTCATTGGTTACACAGTGAGAATTTCCATGATGACTCATTTTGTCTTCCATATCTTTTGAATGCTCGGCATCTTTTAAGCTATGGTCACTTTGTGTTCTATCTAGTATATTATTAATAACAAGTTCGTAAAATTGCTGTCCTGTATCAGTTTGTACTAAACGTAATGTTGGTTCAGAATTACTCGCAATGGTACTTCCATCACCAACCAAATCATCTAGTTCCTTGTGTACTTTTTCAGTCTCTGATGTATGATCTTTTTGAAATGCAGCTTCTAACAGTCGATTAGTATTTGTATCAGTTTGCAAATATCGAGAATCACTCTGAAAATCTTTAAAATCATGTTGCATGTAAGGAACGGTTTCACTTTCTTGGAGTTCTAAATCTTGCAAACTGCAGTGCTTTAAATGATCGGGATCACAAATCTCAACATAAAACTGTTCACCATTTATGTTCAACATTTTATTACATTGATCTAGTCGTTCATGCCTTATGTCACCAGTTGCCAGTTTTAACTGTGATCCATCGTATGGAAGCATCTCCAAATTTGGTTCACTGGAATGTACATTCAATGATTCAGAGTGTGACATTACTGAACACGAGTCCTCCAGATTACTTATTCGGTTTTTTTGGAACTTTTTGGCACTAAAACCTGAAGTAAGTTCATCTATTACATTATTATCTCCAGTCATTACTTCAAATACATCTTGTTCTGAGGCTTGTACGTAAATAAAATTGTTTCCATCTGCTGTGTCATTTTTCTTTAAAGATAATACTCCATGAATTTTTGAAGACTTTAGTTTTAAATCACCAGGCTCGCTCTCTTCAGATTCGTAAGTATTTAGTATATCTGAAATATTTAGTCCAATATCTCGATCTGGACCCATGTTTCCTATTTTCCCAGCAATCTCCAAAAAGTGTTCGCTTAAAATATGGCCTGAAGTATCTTCGCCATGCTCCAAACTGATGTTTGCAAGCTAATTTAATACACAGAATTAGATTTTTAAAATTATGTTGAATATAGTCATACATATAGCAATATTATATTTTAAATAAAACAATGTTCTTTTTTTTTTTTAGTTACCTGTTCAGATGTCATATAAACAACCGCTTCTATAGATTGAGCACGTTTTGCATCTTTGCTTTTTATAAAGTTATTGTGGTCCATATTGTCAGTTACATTATTTACATGCATCGTGGAATTCTGATTGCAATGCACAATTTCTTGTGCATTGTTGTTTATTTTTTCTATATTATTAAACAAGTCCGTGCCATCCTTTTCCAAAAATGGTGCATTCTCATACTCTTGGCAACAGTGATCCTTAATTTCCTCTAATTTTGAAAATTTCTACGCAAGTTAAGAGTACTTAATAACAACATAAAATAATAGCGATATTCAATGAAATATACCTTTCTGCAGCTCTTACACTCTAACTTGTGTATATTTTCTAAGTGATGTTTTTCATGTTGCCGAAGAAGAAGTACAAACTGGAAGCTCTCTCCACAAATTTTACAGTAGTGATGGCGTTTCATAACTTTTTGTCCACCAGTATTTGCACTTTCGCCAGACTGTATTTCAATAATTAAGAATGATAAAAGTGTATCTATACTAACAAAAAGTAGAAATGTTAATCATAGTATATTTACCCCCTTCAAATTATCATTTAATTCAGCCCTTCCTTCATTTGGACTTCCCGATCTTTCAGTATGATGATTTGAACGATTGTGAGTCCTTTTATGTCTCGCAAGTGAACTGATCTGTGTAAATCTTTTACCACAAATTGTACAAGGATATGGTTTTATACCTACATGAATATTTCAATTAGCATCATTCAATATCATGTTGTATATCTGTAGGTTTTCAAGTATGTGAAAAAAGTCATGGTACCTGCATGAATTCTGCAATGTCTAATAAGATTTGACACATGATTGAATTTTCTTCCACAAATTTCACACATACAGAGATTTGTACCTAGATGAATATTCAAATGTGTGCGCAAATCCGTTCTACGAAAAAAACCCTTCCCACAAATCTGACACACTTGTGATTTTTCCCCCAAGTGCACGCTACGTTGATGATAATCAAGTTGAGAAGCTCGATCAAATACTAAGCCGCACTGTTCACATTTGAAAGGCCTCACAACTGTATGACATAAGTTCTCATGAATTCTAAGTCGAGACTGAGACTCAAATCTGTTATTAGATTCAGGACATAAAGTGCAATGCCAAAGAACTTCTCCTGTATGGATTCGTAAATGCCCATAAAATTGTTTCTCGCTAGGAAAACAGTCACCACAAACGGAACAAACAAAATTATTAGACTTCTCCATTACTGGAGAAACTTGGGTGACATCTGTACATGTTTTACGTAGGACACCAGATCCTTTAAATATCTCTTCCATTTCCAAATTGTTTTCAACATTATATACCGAATTTGTATTCCGCCAGTATTCAGCATGTTGTAATAATATATCATTTGTGTCTCCTTTAAAATATATATCCGTTGAATCAAGGGAATTATAATTCCCATCACTGAGACTAAATTTTTTCTCAGTAGATATTCTGACATCGTCCAAAGTTTCCTGATCCATCTCGAGTAAAATCATTAATTTCTTACCAGCTGCAATAATGAAAAATCACAAGTATTAAAAACAACTCCATAATGAAATATACAAAACGTTCTACATAAAAAAGATATTCAATTAGTCGATTGAAACAATACTCATTGGTAGCTAGGACTAAACAATTTTCTAAGATTAATAAATACTCACTAAAGCGGTAAAATTATGTAAACAATAAATGCTGAGAAAGTGGGTCACTATTTCAATCAATAAAAATATTCCGTCCATATATGTTACTGTCTTCAACCAGAAGCACTAGAAAATGTATCATAAATACCACGTCATGTTAGTTCACTGCCATCGCATGACGTTTAGCAACGTTTTATTATTCTATTCATTACAAAATAATGCTTGACATTAGGATATCTGCCAGTCTAACCTCAAAAGTGATGCCACCATCGTCACGAATCTTGTCAAGATGAATGCTTAGTTAAATTAGGCATTTCTACAAACACTTTATATCAGGCTGTGTGATCGACATAAACTGACAATCAATTCTTTGTAATTCGATGTTAAATATTACATTGTTCCCGTCAGAACAAAAGGGTTGCAAAAAACTTACGTCATCGAGGCAGAACAACTTCCTAAGATGGAGAGCTCAGCCATCTCTATCGAACGTTCAAAAGATCTCTTACAAAAGTTTGCTCTATCGGTAAATCGTTATCCAATAATAATTTCTATTATAATTATCGGCAAAATCTTCATAAATATGACATTTAATTACAAAAATGTGGATTGCTAATGTGAAGTGAATGTTTTTTTTCCGCATACCATATTATTTAAACTGAAACGAGATCGAATTTAATTACCGACTAAATACAATATATTCCTTTATTAGCTAGCTCCTGTAAATATACAAGAGCATGAGTTTATGGATAAAGTTATCTCATTGATAACTGTCTAGTTTTTGTTGTGATGGCGTTAGAAGTGCGAACGTCACATTATACATTCTACAATATGGAGCTTAAACTATTCATTTGGATTATTTAATAGCAACCTATTGAAGCCCGCTTAAATATAATGTGATAAAAATGAAATGATATCACTAGATGTTAATTAGAATACATGAATTATTTAAAAGCGGTTCTAGTCTTATGGTGTAAAAGTATATTTTTACAAAATTTAAAAATTCATTCAACTAGATAACCAGCTAATAGATAACCACCACTATCGCTCATTGAAATATCAGGATGCGTCCTGTCAGGCAATATTTGATACGAACGTAAAAAATTCGAAAACAGCCTTAAGTTTATAATGTCACGTCTTTCTTTAAGCACAACATATGCTTCTTCTAAAGGTTCTCTATATGCATGATAAATAACAAATGGTCGAGAATAACCAAGAAAAGGTAATAGTCCTTTTACAATATTTACAGGATGTTCTTTTGCTACAATTATTAATCCGTGAGCTTTAGAACATTTCAATAGATTCACTACATTTTCTGTTTCAATCATCCATCTTGGTCTTTTTACAGGCACAGCGTTGGGCAAATCATCTTGCTTTCTCTTGTTATTAGTTCTTATTTCTTTTGTACCTCCACATTCCAAAGGACACTTGGCAACATCCCGTTCTGTGAGATCTTGAAGTTTTTCAGAAATGGGTATACAGAGATCATCGTTTAAAGTTGTAGGGATATTTTGTGAATCGTTCTCCTCAAGACAAGATTCTGCATCTAGAATCTGCTCGATTATATTGATAGAATTCTCTATTGTATGTTGTTCTTTTTTTACAGAATCATTTAAGGAATCTGTTTGGTAATACATTCTAATGAGGGAATAAATATTCACAGCCAGAAGCCTATCGAGTTGTTCCTTCGGAAAGTTCATGGCATTCGTCAGAGTAGTCTGAGGGAAATTTCCAGGATGCAGATGTACTAACGTACCTGTAGTTTTAGCACCTATTCTGTTTAACATGCCAGCTGCCACTAGACCTGATGATCCACTATCATATAAAAGATATAATCCCTCTGACTTAACATCGCTGTATGAAAACAGCAGAGCTAATGTATCCATCCGCAAACCACATATCTTCCCATGATCTTGTTGAAAGTATATCTCTTGCAGAGCTCTAACCGTTGGCTTGTGAATCACCAAATACTGGCTATATTTGCGTTCTTTTTTCTTTAGGTATTTCTCCTGGGAATATTCTGTTTTATTTGCAAAAGTTTTACTGTTTTCTATGAGGGTACCAACTATTTCCTTGCCCGACTTTCCAGCTTCACGCAGCTCCAAAATCTCGTCCTTCGATAACTTTTGCGAAGTCCCATCATCAAAGATACATCTGTTGTCAATTCCACTTATGGAGGAATTCTTCAAGTCTTGCAGCGACTCCACTCTGTCAGATACCTCCAAGGAATAATTTCTAGGGCCAGTCTTTAATGGTACCATTTTAAATGTACTCCAAAACGGCTTACGGATAATCGCTCCCATCTCCACTTTATCCTTTCCCAACGTAAGAGTCCCATTTTCCGAGACTTTATATAATTTTCTAAAACTCTGTTTCTGCACGATAACGTGCGTACCAATTGCAATTAAGTCTTCGTATAACTCCGGAGTTTCGCCCGTCATAATTATCAGTCTTGTCTCATAATCCTAATAATCACTCTTTATATTTCGATATTTGAGTGTTATACCAGATACCGCAAGGTAAAAGAGGTTATAAACATACAAGACATAAGAGGTTAGGGCACTGAAAATACAGCCATGATCAATCAAAAACAGAGATGAGTTGGGAGATTGTTAACAGGCAGGGTCGCGCGATCGCGTCCAGAGTGAGTTGCGCCGCAACTGAGATGTAATAGATGGCAAGTACGTTAGCCGCCCACACCAACCACCAGACGACAGCACAGGACGCGATCGCGCGACGTAAAAAGTATAATTTTCATATGTAATATTCCAATATTATTCGTCATATTTTAACACTCATCGCGCGACGAAGCGAATGGAAGGTTTTGATTGGCTACAGAAAAGGTACAACGGAAATTCCTTCTCTGCGATGTTTCTCTATAGCTAATCGGAACCTCTCATTCGCTCTGCAGTAAAAATTTAAATTCTCATAAGTTTTTGATAAAAAAAGCTATGAAGAAATGACCGACAAGTGCCCGGGAATTTCTTATCATTCCTGACGTAACTTACCGCGTTTAGAACTCTAGTAACAGATTAGCATTTAGTACGACAGTTGTGTATTTAGTACTTAAATGTCCGTAAATGCGCTGGCATCGGATTGAAGTAATTATGTGGTAGGAATCGCAGCTATATTAATCTTTATATTCCGCATGTCATGTAGGAAAATACGAAACACGTGTTTGTTATCCTACATGTATTGCATATATTTTTCAAAATAAAATAGTACACCGCGCGGTTTATAAAATGCCTATTGATCAGAAAAGAATAAATGGTCCTGAAGTAACTATTCCTTATGAGATTTTATATGATAGTAACATTAATAAAGTTGAAACGAATGATAAAGTCTTAGAAAATCGAGAGGATGGTCGCACGTTGAATGAACATCGGAAGATGTGTAAGGTTACATACACTTAGATTGATAGAATGATTAAATGACAAAATTGTAAGTGATTTATCTGTAAGATGTGTAAACATAACCGGCCTTGTTTCTCCACTAAATTTTAGTTGTGAAAACTGGAATCGTCAGTCAAGCCAAAGGTTCTGCGTACATTGAAATGGGGAAAACAAAAGTTGTCTGTTCTGTATTCGATCCTAGAGAAATTCCGAACAAAACCGAATATAGCGTTCAAGGTGAATTATTCTGTGAGTTTAAATTTGCCCCGTTCTCCTGCAGTAAAAGAAGGATACATCAACAAGATGCGGAAGAAAAGGAGTACAGTTTAATAATGCAACGTGCTTTAGAGCCTGCAGTTTGTCGAGTATAGACATTATTTATATTTATTGTTTCATTGAAGAATGCTCCAATCGTTAAAATACGTTGACAAAAAATACATTTCCATTGCAGCATGAATTCCCAAACTTCCAAATAGATATATACGCTCTTGTATTAGACAATGATGGATCATCTTTAAGTGCCGCAATTATGGCTGCAAGTTTAGCGCTAGCAAATGCTAGCGTACCTATGTTTGGTTTAGTGACAGCAGCTACTGCAGTAAGCGATGTAAACTGTATTTTACATATTGTACCATGCATCATTGCATATTAAGATGAGACTTAATTTCAGGCGATCCAAGGAAGTACTATACTTCTGGATCCAACAGATAAAGAAGAAGCAATCTGTAGTATATCAAAAGTTATATCGGAAGAACCACAAAACCATGGAATTATAATGCAAGCTATTTTGCCGCAACATACACAAGTATCCGAATTCTTTGCAATTGGCAGTCTGGATCTAGATTGCATAAAGTCAGTTGTTGATACATTAACCGCAGCTAGCAAAGAAATCTGTCCAGTAATGCAGCAGTGCTTAGTTAAATCTGTTATCAAATGTATCAAGACAAAAGGACACGATGAGATGGAAGCAGTAAAATGATGCAAAACACTTTTTATTCATGTTTTATGAAGTTTTTATGTAAATGACATTAATCTATGATATATTTTTGTAAGAGAATCATAAGAGTACAGATGAACACTTAATAATGAATTAAAAGAGATGAATAATTGGTATTATAAATATGGTAATTTTCTTTTTAAAGTAAAAATAACTTTTATGCACATGTCATTAATAGTACGAAAATACGAAAACTAAAAGTTAATCTTCCGGTTTTTCAGGGGGTGGTCCACATGGCTGTAGCATTTTTTCCATCAGGTTAAACCGAACTCTTGCTTTTGCCTCGTTCTCGGCAATTGCAAAAAAGTTCAAAAGATCATAGTGTCCCATGTAAGAACTGCACGAATCTCTATGTTGGTTCATCAACCACTCGAACTTGGTTGTATCCGCATGCCCGGTACCAATGTATTTTGACTGTAAATGTTCCAACTGACTGTGTATGTTATACCGTTCTCCCATTCTACAGGCAAGAATATTAATAATTAATACAACTTAAACTATCCAAAGCATATAGCAGTCACAAAACTCAGCAATGAATTTCCTATAAATTTTACCTGAATAATGCGATGAATCTATTAATTCAGGGTTAAACTTTAAAACCAAGACAGTTGTTTAATTAATACAATTACTTGTAACTCACAGTGAAGAGTCACTCCACCATACAAAGGAATTTAAAATGCAACATTTCCAGACATTTCTAAACTGCTTTTGACCACGAACTATAAAACAGAATCGAAGGGTTACATATAGTGCCATCTTTGCAGGTACGTTTTGTGCTGCACCCTAACCAAACTTCCAAAATTAAACGAATGCGTTAATGGCGCCATCTAATACTATTTAAAAGATTGGGACTTGTTTTACCGACTGAAATCTGATACAAACCCTTGCCATCAAATGTGAGCGGTGTCACTAAGCGTAGGTAAGTTACCACCGTCAACTGTGACATTGTATTACCATCGCGAGTGCGTGAATGGCTAGCGGCGCTTGTTAGATGGCACCGCCATCACGAGTGCGCGAGCCCCCACCAGAAATGAGTTGCGACACCACTAAGGGGTAACAGGTGACAAGTACTTTAGCCGCTCGCGTCCACCACCGGGGGACAGCACAGGATGCGATCGCGCGACCCTGCCCGTGAGCAATCTTCCAACTCATCTCTGTTGTAAACTCTTGTCGAAATTCAACTGCAAAAAACTAAAAGAAAACGCAACCATTTCATGGATCACTGTAATATGAAATCTAAGTAGATGGTAATATTAAAAAAACCATTCGACGTTGTATCTGTAAAGGGAATATTTTTTTCTAGGCTCGTGAAGTCCTAGAAATTCACGATTTACAAGTTCAATAAGGGATTGCCGAACTAAGAGATGGAAGACAGATTGCCTCGGGCCTGGAGACTAGCCTTGACATTTAACACGCCGGTTTTTCCAGGCAACGTTAGTCCCCTGACGATTTGCCGATTCCGTCCACCACTTTCATCCTCGTAATGTCACAATACCTCGGTATCGTTCCTCTTGAAGCCATGGAACTTGGGAAAAGATCTCGAAGGCTAGATAGCTCGAGGGTGTAAAATGTTTACGCGTACGCGTAATGTCAGTGTATATGCCAATATCTACCAGACCACGTGTATCGACTCTTCTGGCACAACTTTCACCAGACAACGTAACGATACTTTTTTTTTTTCACAGAATTCATGCACTCCCGGATGACACTACAAGATTGCACAACGTTTAACAGAATTCGTCACCCAAGACACCGAGTAAACTAGAGAAATGCATGGCAATTATTGAACGTCCTTGCAGGAAATAATTTACCGTCTAAACGCAATAAATGCTTGTTAAATTGTTTCAATAATTGTATAAATCTCGCACAATACCACGAAGTATGAATGGACGTTGCATGTACTGTTACTCATTTTTTAAGAATAACTCAACGATCACGATACAGACAAGCAAATTGAATGTAAAATACAAATAATGTGGAATGTAAGAAGGGCCAGATGGGCCCTTTTTACACTTGTACATTGTATTATGCATGTCAGATTATAGGGAGTACCAGGGCGATCTCTTGTAATAATTTGTATCCGTATTTTTTCTCCGTCCATTACGTTCGACGAGTCACACTCCCCACTTTGTTTCTGTAACCTACAGACGAAAACGCTCTCACTCCGTGTAACCGAGATGATAAAAGCTTCGTAAAGCCGCCATGGAGATCGTAGTTCGCATTTTGGAACCGTCGAGAAAACCACTCGTGAAATAGCTGTTATATTCGATATTATTTAAGTGACTCGATATTCCAAAATGGCGCGAAGGCCGATCTTCAGCCTCTTGTTTGCACCGGTTCTTCTTGCAGTGTGTGAGTAGCTCGTTCATCCCTCTTCTGCATCATCTGTGAAAATGACCATTGTTTAATGGCGTGATAAATAATCCTAATTCCGAGTATTATTAATCAACAGGCGAAAACTTACTATATAAATAAACATATATATAGATTTAAATCGCGCTACTCGTCAACTATGGAAAACCTATTTTCGCATTTACAAGCCCAACAGGTCTTTTGTCCGTGCGTGTCCTGCGGTAATTAATTCGTCATAGAACGTGACATCTGATACTAGTGCCGAAAACGAGCACAAGCGACGTGTACAGCATTATAATCTCTTTGAATCACTTTTATACATAACCGAATCGTGCGCGACATATATAATTGGGCAAAACGGCCTTCATATCGTAGGTCGTATTCCAATAAGCACAGACACCCGTAATTGGGCTAATATATAAGTATTTGCAAGATACTTTATTACAATTACATAAGCGCATCGCACACCTGTCGGGAAGAGAACTCATTCTTTGGCAACTCGTCGCGAGGTTTGCGCAAGAGGATTACTAATATATATGTATACACCTTGGAGGTCAATCGAAGATGAGTGACTTTCCCCGAACGAAAGTGTAGTTTTACCAGCCTTTAACGCATACATCGACGGATATTTGTATGCGTCGATTCTCAATTGAATATTAAATGTCACTTGGTAGATAATAAGACACCCTCTAGCCAATTCTCCACCTTAAGGTGTTATGAAAGTGTCATATTTTTATACATACCACAAAGTTAGAGGTCCTAATGAAGGTCTTGAAACTCACGAAATTTCATTAGTACCAAAGAAATATTTTGTTAATTCACAGCATAATTATTTGACTAGAATAAACTCGAATGAATGGGATGCAACATTTTTCTTTTTTTTCTTCTAAATTATGACAATTTATTTGAGTCAAATAGTGATTCCTTGAATTAACAAAATATTTCTTTGGTTCGTTGAATTTTTATCTCAGGGTACGTTCGATGTAATTGCAAACATTTTCACTGGTGATGCAATTATGCCTGCTGTGAGGGGAAATTTATCAGTAATATTGTCCCTTGTTATAAGCGTAAATTTCTTCTTTTTTTTTGTCCAGGCACCGCTCAATTCTTCAAGACTCCGCAATTTTCGGCGTCCTTGAATCAAGTAGGACAAGGACCCACCCAAAGAGGTTCTTCTGCATCCTGTCCTGAGAAAAATGGGAGGTTTCCTGTACCATCTCAATGCGATGCTTATATAGAATGCATCGATGGCGTTCCCGAGCAAAAAGTCTGTCCAGAAGGATTGATGTTCAATCCCGAGGCTCGTTTCAATTATCCTTGCGGATATCCCATCGATATCAACTGCGAAGGCAGGCCCAATTTGCGTGAGTTTATTTTCACTCCACCTGAGTCATTGAGGTGTTACGAAAGCGTCATATACATGGAAACGTCAAAAAAAATATATATAAAACTTCTCCAAATTGAGTACACCGAATAATTAAAAACTTTAACACGTNTTCATAATACTTTAAAAGAAGAAAACGTGATAATAGACACGTAATGATCATGCAATTATTATCGTGCCCATTACAGAGCCTGCTCAGCCGACCGATAATTGCCCTCATCAGTATGGATATTTCAAAATGGGCGACCGACAAAACTGCGGACAATTTATAAATTGTGCAGATGGGGTGGGATACGTGTTTGACTGCCCTGAAGGACTCGCCTATAACGCGGAAACCTACAGGTGTGATTGGCCCGACCAGGTAGCAGATTGCGACGCTGAAGGTAAATATTTTATATATGGTAAAGGTAAATATTTTATGTATAGTGAAGGTAAATATTACATATAAGCCAAACACCACAAACTCACTAATTGACTCATCATCGTCCAGCCCAAACCATTGGGAATAAAAACGTGAAATTTGGGAGGTATGTTCCTTTTGTAACATAGGTGCTCCCTAAAGAAGGATTTTTCGAAATTCAGCCCCTAAGAGGGTGAAAAAGAGTAAAATGTGTTTTTATTAATTTCTACCGGCACATACTGCGAAGCGAAGCTGCGACGGGGCATGCTGGTTAATAATAAAAGGAAGAAATACAGTACCATTCACGATAAAAATGATTCTCCTATTAAATAAAATGGTCCTTTATTTTCTAGCCTTCCTGGGATTCAGTTGTCCTCCGGAAGATAACCAGGGCTTTTTCCTTCCTGGACAACTCCGATTCTACAGGAGCCAAGCAGATTGCCAGCGTTACTACGTCTGCATCGAAGGTAGACCACGTTTGCAGAATTGCGGCGAAGGAAATGCTTTCAACGAGCTGACCGGCTCTTGCGATGGAGCGGAAAATGTTACCGGATGGTGCGTATTTGACGCTTTTTATCATTTTAGTCCTTTATTGAATTATACGAAAATTCATCGACTTTGATTTCAGCGCGACTGGACTGGAACGCAGCAACACTAAACCGACGAGACTGTTTTAGAAAACATATTTATGCAATTACCAACAGGAGCCTTGCTTTGAAGAAGCTACCTATAAACCGTCATCAAAACGTAGGATATTCTTGTACCTTCAACAAGCATGTAAATAAAAAGGGGACGTCGCAGTCATCGAAGAAGAAACCCCATTACGAATCCTTGTTTAGATTTTAAGTCGTACCTGGAATGATTTTGTCAAATATATTACTTTTAAAACAGATTTACGGGTATTTATCTACAGCAAGCGCAATTCATTATCAAGGGAACCGTAAAATGAACACATCTAAATAATCGTATTTCGAGAACTGAGAACAAAATGTCATTGTACCGAAGAAATATTTCGTTAATTAAAAAAAAAATAATTATTTGACTCGAATAAACTCGAATGAATTTGACACAACGTTTCTTTGGAATTATCACAATTTATTTGAGTCAAATAATTATACTTTGAATAAAGAAAATATTTCAGTGGTTCAATGAATTTTTCTTCTCAATGAAGGAACGGGAAGAACACTATTAGACGCAATGAGAGTAGAAAAAAAAGCGCGTACAAAGGTCATAAGCTCGATCTGTATTAACTCATAGTCTTGTTATCATTGAGTAATATTATACCACTAAGAAATCGTCATTTCTACACATGATCTACATGCACATTTCAATGGTTACGAATGTACCACGTACAGAATCGATGCCTAATGTATACGTACACATACTACACCATTATTAGCAAAACAAGGTACAGTTCCTCATCATCCATGATCACATTGGATAGATATCAGTGATTTTGTAACACCCGTAACAGTACAGATACTCAAAGTGTCTACATATTTTAAGAAAAGTGCTGACTTTCAGTTCAGATGGAATTTTCATTCTGGTATATATTCCTAACAGTTCTCGGCTTATTGATTCTACTTGCCTATTTCGAAAGCAACGATCCTATCCGATTTCATGGAAAGTATTTCATCTTCTATGCATATGCTTGTGCGACAAGTCTTTTTCTCATCCCGTATTTCCTTCTTTCACCATGGAACCCTAGAAACTCAACGTGAGTAGTTAATAGTCCATAAATCAACATTTTTATTCTCAAATTAAATAGACTAAGTTACTTAAACGCAGTACAACATACACTGAGAAAAGAAATTCACTTATTTGAATAGTACCAAAGAAATATGTATTTAATTTAAGGAATGATTATTTGACTCGAATAAACTCAAGTAAATCGTCATAATTCCAAAGACACAATATTGCATCCAATTTATCCAAGTCTATTTGCGCCAAATAATTATTCTGTGAATTAACAAAATATTTCTCTGGTTCAATTAATTTGTTTTTTCTCAGTGTAACATTCGAATATCTTTGCTAGGCATGGATCTGTCATTTATCGACAAGTGACAAAATTATTGGGCATCAAGTGGGAAATCAGAGGCGGTGAATTATTGAAGAATGAAGGCAACATTATCGTGGCGAACCATCAAAATTCTCTTGACATCTTAGGTAAAGACAATTCTCGGTAACTAATGATCTGTTGACAAAAAATGATGATGAATGTACACGTAATAAATTATTACCGACTCATTGTCTCATTGTGAATTATAACCGTCATTGACAAGCGATGGCGTTCGGTTAACAGGTTTATTTAACATATGGTGGGCACTCGGCAAATGTACGGTAGTGTCTAAAAAAGAGCTTTTCTATGTCTGGCCATTTGGTTTGGCAGCATGGTTGGGAGGTGTCGTCTTCCTAAACAGGTCCAATCGTAAACAGTCTAGTCAGCATCTCAACCAAACCGGTAATCTTCTCATCAAGAAGGCTGTAAGCTTTCTCCTCTTGTTTTCGACGTCTGCAATAAAGCGCCTAACGGATCTATCTATTTACGATTTCTTTGTTCCCACAGACAAAGTTGATCATCTTCCCCGAAGGAACACGTAACAAGAACAGTCTGTCGGGGGGCTTGCTTCCCTTTAAATTCGGGGCATTTAAACTTGCCATTGAAAACCAGGTACCGATACTTCCAATAGTGTATTCGCCCTATTACTTCGTCAACGAGAAGAACCACTTCTTTGGTCGAGGTAAAATACTTCAGCTTCATCAAAATTAAACGCAAATCAAATCTCCAACATATCTCAGTCGTTCCTAAAATCAAATAATTAAAAAATATTTAGTTTCGCCTTTAAACCCTGAAAGAAAGAAGAGAGTAAATTCACCTCAAATCGAGTTGAATTTAGCGAACGCAATCAATGAGTTGAATCAACTTTCACCTACATTTTTGGAGGTGAATTTACTCTTTCTTTTCTCAGTATACCGTTTACATACGAAGAATTCCATTTTGCAGGTAAGGTGATCGTGCAGATATTAAAACCAATCTCGACGAAGGATTTAACGGTAGAAGATATACCGAAGCTAGCCGAAAAAACTCAGGAGATTATGCAAAAAGAATTTGAAGCCTTGTCGAGGGAAATGCTGTCAACATTGCCGAATAATTATCTCGGTCTGGCCGGTCGGTTGCGTTGAATATCAATGAAGTAGATATTTACTTTGCTCATTTACACCAAAAGTCTATATAATTACTAACCGGTCGCCTAGGGCAGCACTAAAATGCCTCAACAGTTTCGCAATTGTACCATTTATTGCCTTGAAAATAAACAAACGCTGAGTATCACCAAGGGCATAGCGAAAAAACGCAATCACAACAAAGTCGCATTAAGCATAAAGTATAAAATGACCAAGTCCACGAGCATTAAACCAAGAAATTCAAGGTTTCAGGTGAATCGACACGGACGGTCGAACGAAGTAAACCTTTCAGCGGAATTCCGTTAGTTACGTCACTAGTTACCTTTCAGAACCAAAATACGCAATAACTTAGAGACGCTCTCAAATCAGTCGACAAATGGTCAATCGCATTCAGACTTTATATATCGAATCATAGATGTAACCATTGGAAAGCATTCTTTAGAAAAGAAGCTTGCAAAATTAGTGGATGAATTTACTGCAACAATCAAAAAAATATTGTTGGAACTGTTCAAACGAACGAGCGATATACAATTTGTTGTCGCTAGAACTATGAATAAAATTTGTATATTATTTGTATCAATATAGCAAAATTATAGTGGTCCATTTTCAAGTTTGTTGCTGCAAGTTACATTTCTCGTTATGACTAAATTCTTTTTCTGCGTGTATGAGTATATCGGTATTTTTCCTGGAATATCGTATCCATCTCTCCTGCAACGCGGATGTTTTATCCTCCAGGAAGCCTTGATAAATATATTTAGTCGGCGTTCCAATGATCTTAATTTAATGAAGGAATGGACGATTCGTGCAGGCGACGCAGGCCTGGTAAAGCGTTTGTATAGGTTCAGGCTGAACGGTACCGACACAGAGAAACCGACTCGGTTCCGCGGTAAACGGTAAACCGGTTTCACCTGGCTGCTCGTTCCTAGCACGTATGCTGCTACCTGCGCCATGCTACCCTGATATCGCGGTCTAGGAGAAGGAGCTAGGAGATCGGTAGCAGGATCTGCTCCTCTGCTCGCTCTTCCTGCCTAAACGACCACGTAGGATCTGCTCAAGAACGAGCGCCAGACCAGTTCGTACCGATGCAAAAGACGTCATGTACCTGTAACCAATATCCATACTCAACATACAGGTGAAAAGGACACATACAGTTGGCGATAAGTTATACAAAAAAAAATGATCCAAGCCCATGTGATTAGAAATTCATCGCCTAGATTCACATACCCTCCTGCAACCACCTCCGAATAACACTGAAGCTTGACAAAAGGTGCTTGACTTTCATTCTGCTACATGAGACGCATTTAAAAGAGTATACTGTACGGACACCATGAAGGTGAGGATAGTTCTTTAAGAGTATAGATTTTATAAATATGCTTTACACTTAAAAATGTACTCGACATTGTTCAATAACTCAGCTAGGGAAAGACATCCATGAAAGGGAAAGCGGCCTTGTTGGGTTCCATCAGATCAGCAAGGAAACAAGCGGTTCCTGCCCATCCTTCGAAAAGGGAGTAAGGGGCGTCTGGAGTTCGAGCTTCTTTTCGGAATTCCTCTGAAGTCAGGAACTCTGCGAACTTGACGGCTCGTTGTAAGTACATGTTATCTGAAGTTAATCTGTAGAGAAGTAAAAAGACGTAGCCTCCGCCAGCTACGCCATGGCAAATTCCGGGTCCCTTTCGGAGCAGACCCTTCTTCCAGACTAATTCGCCGGCACGTAAGCATGTCTCCAGGTATCGGGAGTCATTCCATCGGAGGTAGGCAGCAGCCATCAAGTACACGATGCCTGGGGCTCCGTGACACCACTGAACGAGCTCGTCTTCTTCGTGGACTCTTCTGCCTCGACTCACCTTGTCCATCGAAGCGGGATAATTTCCTGATAAATTCTCGTGGCTCAACAAATAGTTCACCGATGCACGCACCGTGTTTTCCACCTCTCGGTCACTGTCCAGGAAATTCGGCACCTTTGATCAATAAGAAATACATTAAAGTCTCGTATACTAACAGAGAATCGTGTACTATTAGAGAATCTCCCTTGAAAAATAGATTCTTATATGAATTTCGCGCGCTATGATCAGTCGGTAAAGGTAGTTTCGTAGTGTAACTAAATTTGAATTTCGCGCGCTACGATACGTTCATAAAGGTAATTTTGCACTAGAGGCAGTTGCTAATTGGTTGGATGATAATTTAATATTTAAAGCCACGAACCTGTATCAACATGTGAAGAATCGAGGAGAGCCCGTGAGCCGCACCGAGATACTCCTTTCTGTAATACCAATACATTAAAGGACAAGGACATCCTTTGGTTCTTGAATAATCCTTTCCTGATCGTACGATCTGTCTAGCGATCTCGTGCATGATTTCCACGTGTATGATTTGATCTCCACCAAATTCTCGGTTCAGCCATAAAGCGCCGGCTAGGAATCCGGCGCGTCCGACGAAAAATTCATCCGAATCGTTTGGTTGGAAGCACATTGCAGTGTTCCGATATCGAGCAGCCAATAAGAACGCTCGATTCTCGTCGCCCGCCATCTTTGCCAGGACCGCTCCAACGGAAATAGAACCGCTATCGCCCAATAGGAACGCCTTGTCATAAGAGTCATCGTCCTGCTCAGCCAATGCCAATGGAACTCGCCAGTAATTTTTCGCAAGCTCGAAATACTGCGTCGCTTTTGACGAATCACCGATCGAGTTGAATCGCCTGCTCAGGTGGAGGAACGTGTACGCCAATCCGTTCGAACCGGTGTGGAGCCCTCCCTCCGGATTGGCCTTTTCCGGTGGCTCCGACTTTCTTATCTTCTCTACCACGTACTGCAAGATTTTAAATCCCAATGCCTTCGCCTGCGGCTCACCGATTGAACCCAGCTCCTTTCCATAGTAAATGTTCACGAAGTATCTTGACCTCCTTCGCGACATGTTGACACCGGTACTGGTCGCACTAATCGAATGTTCCCGATGTCTTTTCGAGAACGAACTGAGGTTATGTTGAGGCAGTACGCAGCCGACACTTGACTTGAAAAAGCGGTTCTGGATTTTAAACGCACGTGGAAGCCTTGTTGAACACTCGCGTCACCTCGAGTGCGGTTGATTTCAAGTTGATTTTGTTTTTCAATCGATGCAACTTGCCGAGAAGTCGGCCAGTTTCGGAGCTTCGGAATCGAGATATTTCGATATGTCGTTTCTTACGCGAGTCACTTCATGCAGAGATGAGTTGGGAGATTGCTCACGGGCAGGGTCGCGCGATCGCATCGTGTGCTGCCCTCTGCTTTTGTACGTGAGCTTTCACCGTTTTTTGCGCCCAAGGGCGGCGCAACAAATTTCTGACAGGGACTCACGCACTCGCGATGGCGGTGCCATCTACCAGTCGCCGCTGGCGGCTCACGTACTCGTGATGGTAATACCATGCAGCAGTTGACGGTGGTGGCTTACCTACGCTTACCGACACTGATCGCTTTTAATGGTAAGGGAAGAACACTCGTGGCGCCCTCTTTGACTGTACCCTTCACTTACCTCATTTATTTCATCCGCAAATGATACAGGCAAAATTACAAAGTGGGTGCTCGAGAGTTGAGTTACACTGTAGATACNGTAAGCCACCACCGTCAACTGCTGCATGGTATTACCATCACGAGTACGTGAGCCGCCAGCGGCGACTGGTAGATGGCACCGCCATCGCGAGTGCGTGAGTCCCTGTCAGAAATTTGTTGCGCCGCCCTTGGGCGCAAAAAACGGTGAAAGCTCACGTACAAAAGCAGAGGGCAGCACACGATGCGATCGCGCGACCCTGCCCGTGAGCAATCTCCCAACTCATCTCTGTTATTATGCGGCTTTTTAAAACCGACTGTTGATATCTGCTCGATGTAACGGTGTTGCACTTTATCCGTAGATAACGGCCTCTGAAAAATTCGTTACGAAATGGTAGAGGTTTCTTCGAGTTCCGAAGATGAAAATGAGGTTGAAGCTCTGAAAGAAGCAACGGATAATCAATTTTTAAACGAGACACTTTTTCAGAAATCCCACAAGGACGATGGTGAGATTAATTTTTCATTAAAATTTTGTTATTGTTAATTTTGTATATACGACCAGTCATTATTGCGATTTTTAGAAGAGCATATATCAAAGAGTACTGTACAAGCTCCTCGCAAGGCTTCAGGGCGATTTATTGAGGAGACCGAACAATTCAATGACTTTGGAGCTACGAAAACTTTTAAGGAATTTGTAGCTAAGAAATTAACTGAATTCTTGGAAAGGTATTCAAGAAGGCCCCTTTGGCATAAGTATTTACTTATAAAAAATACATGAGTTTTTTTTTTATAGAGACACGTTAGAAGTAACAGTAAAGGATAATAGGCTTCCAAAGGAAATAAAAAAGGAAACCGATGAGCCGTATGGTATTAAATTATTAAGTTCGTCAAGTAATATCCTGAGTGTGGATGAAAATGAAAATCAGCAAAATGACTCTAAAAAGCGAAAACGTAAGAAATGTGTAAAAGTAAACGAAGATGAAAATATTGCAAAGTGCCAAGAGGTTGCAGTTGATGCCGAATGGATTATATCAAAACGTTGCATTAACGGCTGGGTAGAGAAATCGAAAGGTATAACATTTAAGTATCAGAAATTAAATAATGGTAGTTTGGTCGAAAAATCCGAATGAATTTAAAGTAATTCATTCGTTCCCTAACACGTAGATATTGTCTAAAATAATTTTGATTTATTTCGTAAATAAATACCATATAAAAATAAGGAGGAAAAATAAAAAGATGAGAATGAAAATCCCATACTAACCTTTTCATTTTATTTAGAACTACAGCATGAAACTAAATTACTAATTCGTTTGTACAGCTTTGTATATTCTAGGACAATAATTTTAACTTTACGATAGAACTTTCCCAGTAATAAGTATTCCATGTTTATATAAGCAAGAAAATAAATGACCACGTTTTTCTTTATATAATTCTTTATACAAAAGTCGATTCATTTGATAATAACAAAACTATGAAATCTTATTTGTGATGCAATGTGTAAAATAAAACTTGGCGTGATTACATATGATCAGCCATAATATACAATGATTGATTTGAGGAGTACAATGTTGCTCCATTCTAAAATATAATCATGTCGATATAAAATTGATGTCATATCAGTGGTTATTTCGCTACTAGATTTTACATATGACAATAAACCAACGTTTCGATTACATCTCAAAATTAATTGGCTAGGAAATTAAGATTACAATTTGAACAAATATTACCAGGATTTAGATGTACTTACATAATACATTGGTTTAGGCAGTGTCATTCTAAAATACTTGCACCTATATGAACCCCACGTTAATCCAAGATTTCCTACGTGTAAATCACACTTGTTCTCTTATGCAGCTTGTTAATATTTGCAATCTCTCTGTTGGTAATTTTTCACTGTGTTAACTTAAAGTTCAAATTCTGCTAAGGGAGGCTGTGCAAAGTGAAAGCTGATTTTTAAATAGATACTATGCAGTGGTTTATGTATGAAGCAAGGCTACATTAAACACGGTCTTAATGTAAAATATAAATAATGTATGTATATGAGATATTAATACTACTACCTTTGCTTTGAAACAAACTTGAAGTTAAACAATAAATTAAACTTCTCTAATTGATAATTATAAAATTTAGTTTCAGAAGCATATGAATTATGGTAATAAAATGTAAGTAGAATTAATTCTCATGGCTAGCCAAATTACTTCCATACATTTCCCACTCGTATTTGCCATTTCATAGATTAATACTCTCATTTGCTTTACCCCCTAAGCCGACTTCAAATCACATTGTCACACTCTATTACAAGTTTTAAATGCATTAAGTCTATAACAGTGTCTTACAAAATATATACAAGAAAATAATGTGCGTTGCATGAATAAGTAAATTGGGATCTACGACATATAAATTATTACTCAAATTTGTGATACATCTAACAAACGTGAAATATGAGTCCGAAGGAGATTCAGTACAATGGATCTTAACGAACTTCCTTTACTAGTAGCAACCACCGAAAATAATCATTCCCATAGTTAATTACAATCAACGACTAAATGTCAATTAATTATTCTCTAATTTATAAGAACATAAGCGTTGTTCAGATTTTTCCCTCATTATAAATTATTTGTATATAGGTAAAGAATTCGTCTTTCGACTCTGTTAAATATAGCAAAATAAGGGATAAACTGCTCTTACGAGACATTAAATTCATAGAATTTGCTAAGTGAAGAGATCTAATTAAGAGGGATAAGTGATCTTTGGAAATTTAATGCACGACATTATGTGGCGAGCTACGATAATGTGTGACATTTATAAATTACATTTCCGTCCTGGACGAAAGGAAGTCTCATCTTAATCACAGATGTCATCAAATGGTCACCTCTATGTTGCTATGACGCTTATAGGACTTTACTTCAATTCCAACAATTTCCCTATTGTAACTTTACGCACAAGGGGAGGTAATGGAAAACATTATTGACAGTACTCAACAGTTTTGCATTTAGAAGCGAGTGGCTATAAAGCCAACCAAGGGTGATTGCGAATCGCTTCACGACTTCGATCTCCATAATCGTACGTCACCTCAACACCTGCTGGTATGTCTTCCTTTGCAGTCAGCACTAAATGTGGTACAGAGTCAACATCCACTATTCGAGCGACTAAATTTCCATTGCGTGAATGATTTACAAGCCTACCTAGCTTGTCAGTTTCAGCTGTTGCATCAACACTGAAAAAATTCATTCTAACATAATGACGATACGTAAAGCATCGATACACATCATATAATGAGATTGATCACTCACCAATACTGGTGATTTTTATATTGGAAATAATACATATAACACCCCGTATTTTGATCTTTGGCATATTCCATTTCTCGTTTCTTTGCGGTTACTTGATCAATTAATTCACCGATATATTCTACAACGAATGAGCCTTTCGAAAATTCACATGTTGTCACAACTCCACGACCTTTACCAGCAAAGTGCCTTACCTATGAAAATAATTAATTTCTATACTGTACGCCCACAGTCTGAACAGAGTAGATTTAAACGTTGATACACGTGATCACATGTACTTACCTCTAAGCCATCTTCTGCTTGTGTTAATACTTTTTTTTCAAGATCTCGCTGCCTCTCCTCAAGCACTGTCTTCTTACATTTTCGGACACTACGGCGTACTGGAAAATAGTCTGTAAGTTTATGATTAGCATCGGTCGTTATTATTCGCTCAGGCCTTTGACTTAAAGAACCCTTTTTACGGGCACGACCATTTGCTTTTCGACCAACAGGCTGCATTGGGTTTAGGATATTGTTTGTAAATTTTTCTTCCTTAATGTCATCCGTTCTTACATCTGATTCATCCAAGGGAAGGGTAGGCATATTTATACGGTGTGGTGTACTCGGACTATGAATTGGAACAGCAACAGGCGTCTCTACAAATACCAGATCATTTAATTAGTTTTTCAAAAGCTGTAATTCAACATTGATTTTTAGGTAGTATTGTAAGTTAACACATACCATCTGTTTTAAACAGTTCATTGTCACTGATAATGGACTTGTCGAGCAGATCTCTGATATTTTCATCATTCCTAAATGGTCCTCGATTGTGTGTTGTTCGCTTGTTTCCTTTGACATCATTGAAAAGAGTCTTTGAAACCTAGCCAAATAAACTTGTCATTAACTGTAGACCGAAGTTGGTCTGTGAAATGCACCGATATAGGGCATTCAACATATGTAATGCATTCCAACAGCTTTTCCTATGATCATATTACAAAGTGAATAATATAGCCTAACCGATATATTTTATACAATCAATTATATATCTCCTGAAACCTCCTCTCTTTTAAATAATACATGTATTAGTCAAAATCAACAACGCATATACCTTTCTCTCTGGGGTAAAATAGGTTGTAATACAAGCAGACAATTTTGCATTTTGAGAACCAGGTATATCATCTGATTGAAGAGCTGCTGTTGCACTAAAATCAATCCGTGTTTCTTTCCTACAAGGTGATATCCCACTACCTTCTTCCTCGATCAATGTTATAGAACGCAGTTGTACTGAGCCTTTCCCTGCTACCCGCCGTCTTCTACCTATAAAAGAAATTTTAATAATATAACAATCGCCAATATTTCAAGAACGTATTTTTCATTCATACCAATAGTATAAAATAAAAATCACAAAAAAATTTGTATCAAAAGTAATAAAATATATAACGATTTAAAATTCAGTAACTAATTTATAACTATAATGATCACCCCAATTATTTTAATCTTTCTTAACTAGGTGCATTTAAGTAATAATATTGAAATGTATTCCACATTATGTCGAATATGAGGAAATATTAATATTCATGTATATTTTTAATTAGGTATGTCTGAGTTAATGAAAAGTTAATTCCTCAGGGAATGACTATTAAGTTGTTCAGAAACCTATTCCTAGTCAAACAATACAGCGTGTTTACGTAACTCTGTGAGCTGAATGCATTCGAAATGTGTCTCAAAATGGAGAAAGGACGCTGACAGTAATCCGTCCAAAACACGTAAAGTATACCTCTGAAAGCTGAGTGAAAAATATGTTGTGCAACCTCAAATTCATTTCTTACCTTTCACCATAATGCCAGCGAATGATTCTTTACCTAAACTATTCCTTGCAGCCTAAAACCTATTAAATGCTAGTTAACAGTTCCGCATAATTGTCTACCGTTCACAGAATAACACTCTAGCCGTATCCATTCACTTCGTCATAAGCCTTGTAAGTTTGAGGTTATAATACACATCAGTAGCTCAGCCTAACCGACACTTTGTCCCTAATTTTAAAAAGTCATGCGTATTAAATAGCACTAAACAGCCTAAATCTACAAAAATATTCTCTGTGCATATCAGTAATCGTCCGTCGATCGAATTGACGATAAACGACTTGGCTGACTACCCGGAAGTGCCGCCATTTTGTGAAGGCGGGAAACCAGACAGAGAGAACTATACCTGGGGGTCACCTCATGCATATCCCCACCTCAATGACCGAGAGACCGGTCTCGTATTCCATCAATGAGTAGGACAAAGACAACGCTATACAAGAAAAGCATGAGGTCTCTCAAGCGTTCCCCTCCTTCTGTCGTCTTCATCTGGATCGCTCAAATTTCGCAATAAACATGACCTCGGTGGTAGCTCCATTACTCAATTGGTAACAGGTGGTGAAATAAATACAAAATAATAAATATCATAATAAACACGTCATTTTTACAAGAAAAACCTTTATAATACAACTGTAATTTAGCATTAAAGCAAAATATATGTATTCTTGTAAAACTTATCTCGGGTTTGAAAGTCCGTTAGAGCGTATTCTAAAATGATCGACATTATCGACAGTTCGCAAATAGAGAGTGCTGTTCTGTTGAATTTATTGAAATCCGAAAAATCTCATCGACTTGATTTAATAATGCTTAGAAAAATAGGTAACATAAATATATTTCATTCGGAATATTAACAATACCGGTAAAAAGAAAACACAATGCCTATCAGCGCCACCACGCCCGCTTGACTCAGCGAACTGTAGGATGAAAATAAATTAGCGTACACTTTACATTCCTTTACGTTTACGCGCATGTTTCACGATTACAATTGCAACGTCAATTATTCACAGCCAGTAACAGTCGTCGGAAAGCTCTCCCACGTGTGTGTACAATTTTCATTCTTCAATTCTAACTGCATTATTTTTTTTTCTTTTTTGATTCCAGCAGTGTCCCCACGCTTCCTCCAATGAAATTAAAATTCCGACAATACCAGCGATACATAATTTCTCATCGAAATTAGCCTTATTGAATTACAAAGTGCGAAATCTGATTTGACCACCACCTTTATCGTCATTGAATCAATTAAACACGCACAAGTCAATCGGTTGACATTTTCGTTAATTCCAATATATTATTGATTTCGTAAACGCCCGACATGGTCGTATCAAGAGCACGATATTTTGCATTTTAAAATATCTAAAAATAACTGCACAGCGGGAATACTGGTGGTCGGATAATTGATCGTCAGAAATTCAGAGAATTCTTAGAAAGTATTTATTATTGCAACAGAATCGTGGTATCGATGTTATTTCCATTAGAATTGCGTCGTGGCAGCCTGAGACGTTTGCCGGCGTCGCACGCCAGGCGGCGCTGCAGTCGGGAGCGCGGATCGATCGTATTGAGACTATACATAATTTTTCAAGTGAATTTAAACATCAAATGCAGAAATGACGAGTCACGACCATTTCTTTTGGACAATGAGTTCACGCAAAACGTCTCCAATCAGATAACGATCCCTAATCTTTGATAATTCTCATTAGAAAGCCGTTAGATGTCGAGATCGCACCGACGTTCTTTTCTTTTTGCCGCGGATGCTTTAAATTGTCTAACGATCAGCGCTGCGCACAGGCGACGTTGCCAAACCGATGGCGCCGCGTCGCCTCATACATACGCTACGTTCATGGACATATGACACTTTTCCTGCATCTATCAGGAACATAGAAAGCTACCGAGATGCATATAACTTCTCAAACAATCCCAAACCAAAGAAATTACATTAATTCGGCAACATGAAATATATATTTAACCCTATTACCGAAAATACCAAATGCTCCTCGAACATTTTCCAAAATTTTGAATTCCATTTTGGCGGTCCTCGGTAAATAAAACGATGCTATTGGTTCCGCCGCAGCGTGTGTCGTGCAAAGACAACTAATTATTTTCAATAAACCCTCCCAATTTCAACAAAAATTCCAGAACATTCGGCCTCTGAGAACCCATAATCTTTTCACAGAACATTGCACAGGCAATTATCATTTAAAATCCACATGCACTGCCGCCCATCGAAGCGCTACATTGATGTAAAAATCATGAGATCTCCGAGTTGTAAAACCCCGCTGTGATGTAATCTCATATCCAAATATAAATAATTTGTAAGATCGTCCGATGCTCGAGCCCACTCTACCGTATGAGAGACCAAGCGCTCTCTCTCATATGCATTAGTCCAAAGAGTGCGACGAGGATACTCTTATGTGGAGACACTATACGGGTCTCTCGCCCCTCCCCTCACCCCACTCCTCGTGCAGGTGGTTTAGGCAGACTCCCGCGTTGTCACCATTATCTACGAGACGTCAGTAGATCCGGCAACGCCGTGGGACATGGTCATGGAGGGAACGCGTGCGTTTTTGTATACGCAGAGCGCGATGCACGGTGGGCCGGGCGAATCTAAGATGGCGGCAGCCGTGCTAGGCAGACGCGCTTGAGGGAACGCTCAGTCCAGACGGGAAAATGCCCCGGCCTAAGCGTACAGTAAGTGACCCTGTGACGACCTGAATCGGTCGACATAACCGCGAGACTGCCCTTGCAATCGACGGGCTCTGGAGCGGCGCTATTCCACGTATTTCCGGCACGGAACCTACCTGACAAGTCTAGACAAACGGAACGCGCTGACCGCGTCCGGGTCTCTCGCGACTCCTGGACACGTCAGGGCCCGCACATTCTCGCGCGAGGAGTTCCCGCGCAACTTAACCTCGCTGAGTCGATCCCGCGAACCCGCGAGGTGGTAAGCCACGTCTAACGTCGCATGTCATGGTGGGTTATTTTTTTATTTTCCTCCCGATCTACTCGCGGAGCCACCGCAGACCGTGCCGAGGCGACGACGTGAGACTCGTCCCGGTCGCTGCGACCCATGCGACTCTTCCGTGGTGTACTCAGTCTATGGTGAAGCACGCCTCCGCTCGAGTCCTGGAAACGCTTACACCTTGTGCTTCCGCCAGGAACAAGGATACGTCGTTCTAAAGTGACGCTCCAAGTGATTCAGACCGACCGAAACCGATCGTCTGATTCGCCGATATTTCGCCCGTTGCCCCTAACCTTATCCAACCTAACCTCCTTTTCGCCCCTTCTACTCTCAGTGCTGAACAGTGTTGGATCCTGTTTTTTCGCGTTCGCTCGCTTGTGACTTTTCTTCCTGACTGGCTCACCTGGTCGGAATTCTCGTGTATTTTTGTGTGTCGTTTCCGATCACGTGCATTTTATATTCAATTGCGCTTCGCGGATCTTGTCAGCCTGCTGGGTTAAGTTTAGTGTCACGTCACCCTCGACGGTTCCTGTTTTTCCGGTCAGAAAAGCTGGTTTGCTTTCTTCCAAGCGTTACCATTTGTTGGCGAGTTCTGAGAGTGGAGGATCTTTTTTGTCAGAGATAAGTTGAATTCATTAGTCGTTCGCGCCTCTCGATTTACCACCGTTTTGTCAAAGTGCGCGTTGGCAAAGGATCAGGTGGTATCTTGAGAATTCCAATCGCGGAACTCGGACATAACCTCAAATCGCGTGCGATCGATATAACGTAAGTTTAGAGTGATTTCTAAGAAAGTAGATCGTTTTGTCATTAGGATAGCGAGTAGTTATTGGTTGATATTGTGTTTGACGTTAAATTTAAGGGTTGAGATTTCTTATTTCAATTTTGAATACCACTTGTCAGGTTTGATACATTCGAGATGATTTGGTAATTGAGACACGAATGGGAATGGAGTAAAATTTTCTATTTTATCTTTTGCACAGGCGACGAAGAAACTCAAGGATGCAATGAGCGACGACAGTAGCGGTAGTGACTTTGACGACGATGAGGATCCTGATAAAATCGAGGTACCGGGTAAGTTGTGTATTATAGAGAGTGTTCTATTATTGTCAGGTGTTGGGGAGAAGCAGCATTAATTGGTTTTTGTAAACAGGTGGAGGTAAAGACCTCGCAACAGCGGCAGGAATTGCCAACATCAAAGATGAAAAACCTCCCATTATACCACCTGGAGCTGCAGCAAAAGGTCTAGGCGATGGTAACTGTAAGTAGCTGTTTTGAAGTTATTAGTGATACAAAAATACTGTGACGTACTGGTGCAAAAATCTAGGTGGATTTACACCTTACCCCTCTTACAGTACTAAATCAGAAGTTCGGTGGTAAAATCCCGGGTGGACTTGTGACAAAGGCCACAACTCCTGGATACGAGATGGTACGAGTAGGGGGATCGCAAGGTGCTCCACCAGGTTTCATGAATGCCAATCAAATGGCTCAGTTGAACCAGATGGGCCCTGGTGGACCGTATGGGTTTCCTCCTGGTCTAGCATCTCTAGCGGGATTTAATCCTGCTGCTTTCCTTCAACAAAGTAAGTGTGTATTGAATGAATGTGTTAAACATGGTCTCTGTAAAATACATTTTGCAATTATCCTTTCAGCAATGGAAATGGGTAATTTACTCGGAGGCTTTATGGGTATGGGAATGAACATGGGTGTGAATCCATTTGTTCAACTTTTAAACCAGAGCGGTCTCCACCCTAATTGGTCTGCAGGACTTTCCGGTACATATTTTATCATCATTTAGTTAAATAGTTTAATATAATTTAACATGACATTCGTGCCCACTATTTTAGCATACATCTAGTATGTAATCGTAGAATTATGTTAAATCTTAATCTATCAGGCAAAGCTGTATCACAGTTATGGATGAATTCTGGTGATCCAGGGAAAATGAGCATGCAGCCAACTTTACCGGAAGAAGAAGAAGTAGATGACGAGGACATGGGCGTTGCTGAGACTTATGCAGACTACATGCCAACTAAATGTATGTAAATTAGTATCGTGTCTATTGAAGTCAAATATTTTTATTCGAACATATAGAAGCCTATATGAATTTAATAAACAATACCTCTTTTTTTTAATGATGTATTAATGGCAAATGTATTTTTATTACACTAGTGAAACTTGGACGTAAACACCCAGACCCGGTGGTGGAAACTGCATCGTTATCAAGCGTTGAACCTACAGACGTTTGGTATAAGGTTTCAATTCCTGAGGAAACTATAAGAACTGGTGCTCTCTCAGCATTACAGCTTGAATCTATTACGTACACCTCCCAACAACACGAACACCTACTTCCTGACGGATCACGAGCTGGATTTCTAATTGGAGACGGTGCTGGTGTTGGAAAAGGTCGTACCATTGCTGGAGTTATATTTGAGAATTACTTAAAGGGCAGGAAACGTGCCATTTGGGTTTCGGTTTCAAATGATCTAAAGTACGATGCTGAACGTGACTTGAAAGACATCGGCGCATCTAAAATCGATGTATGTATTAAGATAAAAAGAAATTCATTTATTGCACAGATCCTTTTTACTTTTATTTCTCACCCTGACATGACACTTGATATTCTTGATTCAGGTTCATGCATTAAACAAATTCAAGTATGCAAAAATTTCGTCAGCAGTCAACGGCAACGTAAAGAAAGGTGTCATCTTCAGCACGTATTCTGCTTTAATTGGAGAGTCGTCTCAGAGTGGAGGGAAATATAAGAGCCGATTGAAACAACTTCTTCAGTGGTGCGGAGAGGATTTTGATGGGCTCATTGTATTTGACGAATGTCATCGGGCTAAGAATCTTTGCCCCACTGGTAGTTCCAAGCCCACAAAGACTGGTTAGCATAATTTAAAATTTATCTATTTCTTAATTGACCGAAGGATTTCTTCAAATACAGTTTTCATAATTAGGTTTGACGGTACTGGAACTACAAAATAAACTTCCTAAGTCCCGAGTAGTTTACGCCAGTGCTACGGGAGCGTCTGAGCCTCGAAATATGGCGTATATGGTCCGACTAGGAATGTGGGGCGAAGGGACACCATTTCCCGAATTCAATGACTTTATCACCGCTGTCGAAAAACGTGGCGTCGGTGCTATGGAAATCGTAGCGATGGATATGAAACTGCGTGGTATGTACATTGCACGACAGTTGAGCTTCCATGGCGTTGCTTTCAAGATCGAGGAGGTACCCCTTTCGAAGGACTTCACCAAAATCTATGATCATTCTGTCCGATTGGTGAGTAATCGAATTTCGATCTCTAATATACATAGTTCACAAGTGTAAAGACACTTCTGATCGTAAAGATCAAAGAAGTTAAAGTATTATAAAAGGGTCATTCTATATATATATCAAAACGTCAAAATATTTATAAAAATTTTCTCCAAGCTGGGTGCATCGAAACATTTGAAACTTTAACACGTGATTATAGAGGTCCTATTAAAGGTCTTGAAACTCGTGAGATTTAATTTTTCGAAAAGAAATTTTTTTTTTTATTCATCTCTGGAAACATTTTTTTTTTTTTTAATGAAATTTCATGAGTTTCAAGACCTTCATTAGGATCTCCATGATCACGTATTAAAGTTTCAAATATATATATATATAGAATGACCCTCTCATATCACCTTAAGGATTAGATTCTCAATTTATAGTTGTCTAGGATATATTTAGGGTTCCCTTCTGGTGTCTCCTTGACCCTCAACAGCTACGCGGTTGTAATAGCCTAAACGATTTTACGTGTTACTAGTGGGTAGAGGCGATGCAAAGATTCCAAGAAGCCGCCGAGCTGATTGACGCCGAGAATCGGATGAAGAAGACCATGTGGGGTCAATTTTGGTCGTCGCATCAACGTTTCTTCAAGTACCTCTGCATCGCTGCAAAAGTGAAGCACGCCGTTGCAGTGGCGCGGGAGGCAGTGAAGTGCGGTAAATGCGTGGTCATTGGTCTGCAATCGACCGGCGAAGCACGTACCCTGGAACAGCTTGAGCGAGATGACGGCGAGCTCAGCGACTTTGTCTCCACGGCAAAGTGAGTACACCGAGATTAATTAGTGCTACACGACGAAGCGTATATCGGTAACGAAAACGTGGTACGATCTAATTGCTCTCTCTCTCTCTCTCTCTCTCTCTCTCTGCTCAAAGGGGCGTACTGCAAACGTTGGTCGAGAAGCACTTCCCAGCGCCGGATCGCAATCGAATTCACAGGCTCCTGGGCTTGGAGCCACCCAAATCCCGCGATGGAGACGACGACATGGATGGAGCCGGAGGATCAGCGGGAGGAAGTAAAAGGAAACCGGTACGGCAAGCAGCGCAAAGGGCGTCGAAGAAGGTCAGAACCTGGTCCTCCGAGGAAGAGATCTCCGACGAGGAGCGGAACGGCGGACACAGCTCCGGGTCCGAGTTCAAGCTGAGCGGAACCGAGAGCGAGGAGGATAATCGGACGGAAGAAGAGAGCAACGCTAGTTCGGACTTCAATCCGTTCTATAGCGACAGCGATTCCGATGCAGGTGAGCTGGGTTTAGGATTGTGGCGAGGTCCTTTTTTCGACGGGATTTTAAATCGATATTCTTTTAGACCCGTGGGACAGGCGGAAGAAAAAGGGAGGGAAGAAGCAGAAGAAGCCCGTGAAGAAGCGACTCAGCACGCAGGATAAGATCCAGTCGATGCTTGCCCATAAGACCTCCAACAATAGGAACAAACGCAACGGAGATGCTGGCTCGAGCCACCATGGACAACACAGTAACGCGGTTTCCGTTGGGCTTTCCGCCTCCCAGGCACCGCCCCGAGATGCGATCGAGCGAGCTTGCAGCATGAAGGAGGAACTGTTGGCTCAGATCGAGTCTCTGGGTGAGCGACTTCCGCCGAATACGTTGGATCAGCTGATCGACGAGCTGGGCGGGCCTGAAAACGTTGCCGAAATGACTGGGAGGAAAGGCCGAGTGGTACAAACCGAGGATGGCGCCATTCAATATGAATCTCGGTCCGAGGTCGACGTACCTTTAGAAACCCTTAATTTAACGGAAAAACAGAGGTGCGAGGTTCTCCTTGCCATAATTCATCTTGGAATGTATGCGTCAGTGGTGTTATTAATTATTTTCTTTGGTTATAATCGATAGATTCATGGACGGGGAGAAGACAGTAGCCATAATTTCGGAAGCGGCCAGCAGCGGCATCTCCCTGCAGAGTGATCGTCGGGCGCGGAATCAGATGCGTCGAGTTCACATCACATTAGAATTACCGTGGAGTGCCGATCGGGCGATTCAGCAATTCGGAAGGACCCACCGGTCTAACCAGGTCAACGCACCGGAGTACATTTTCCTGATATCCGATCTCGCCGGTGAAAGAAGATTCGCCTCTATCGTTGCGAAGCGTCTCGAAAGCCTCGGGGCGTTGACTCATGGCGATCGACGAGCCACGGAAACTCGTGATCTCTCGCAATTTAATATAGATAACAAGTATGGCAGAGCTGCCCTGGAAGCCACCATGAAGACGATAATGGGGTAGGTATATTTTTATTTTCATTTTTGTTTTATAACTGCGATTAATAGCATACACGTCTTCGTGAATATTACTAATTAAAAGGAATAAATGATTTCAAATAGGAATTCTCAGTTCTCTTAAATTCTCGTGAATTTAAAAACATTATGTGTATTAATTGATGGATGAATTGCAGATATGAACAACCGCTGGTGCCGCCTCCACAGGATTACCGCGGTGACTTTTTCAAAGACGTAGCGGACGCGTTAGTGGGCGTCGGACTGATTTGCAATAGCGAAAACATGCCCGGAGTATTGACACTCGACAAAGACTACAACAACATGTCCAAGTTCCTAAACCGAATCCTCGGGATGCCCGTGGATTTGCAGAATCGCCTTTTCAAGTATTTCACCGACACGCTCAACGCGATTGTCACGCAGGCAAAGAAGACCGGTCGGTTCGACATGGGCATCCTCGACCTCGGTACCTCGGGAGAGAACGTGCGTCGGGTAAAGATTTATCGATTCCTGAGGAAACACGCCACGGGAACGGCGCCTACGGAGTTGCATGTGGTACATGTGGAGCGTGGTATGAGCTGGTCGGAAGCCAAGGACCGCTGTTCCGAGCTGACCTCTTCAAAGGAGGGCTTTTACCTCAGCCATCAAATCAGGAATGGAAAGCAAACAGCTATCCTTGCAGTTGCCGTGGACTCTGGCAAGAAGAAGAGTGAAAGCAAAAAGGATCAGCTGTTTATGGTGTACAGGTAAAAGAAGTGACGACGGTGTTAAGGTCTTAAGGTGTTATATATAAATTTTCAAGACCTTAGGATCTCCATAATCATGTGTAAAAGTTTGAAATGATTCGGCGGAATCTGTTCGGAGAAAAGTTTCACAAATGAGACCTCTTTGTCACTACTTTCACGTCACCTTAAACTACAACTCTTTATCCGCGATTGGAGTCTACTAGAGAGATACGCTTGGAAGAGAAATTATTATATTTGTAATTTCCTTTGTTTAATGCAGACCGAATACCGGGCTTCAACTTCGACAAGAGACTCTTGGCGAGCTCGAGAAGAAGTACAAGAAAGTGACCGAAGAAGAAGCCGAGTCGCATTGGAAACAGCAGTACGATGCGTCAGTAGACACGTGTTCCCACGCGTACTGGCGTGGTAATTGCAAAAATGTCACTCTTGGAATGGATTGCGAGGTTGGTCTTCGGCGGCGTTCCTACAACGTCCTCGCCGGATCTGTATTGAGTGTCTGGAGTCGGGTTGAAAGTGTCCTTGCCGCCCGTTCTGGACACAATTCGAAGATGCAGGTGGTGCGTCTTCGGACTGGTAAGAAGATATATTCTAGACATTTATTTAGCTGGATTTTATTTCTCTTCTGGTATATAATAATTTTTATACAACGCAAGTAGGGTTTACACGCCCTTCCCGCGTGAAGTTGTATAAGGCAACATAACGCCTATAGTCGGTTCCGTAGAAAGTGGACCCAGGATCTCAGATTTTCGTTGATCTACCGATGCGAGCGCTACTTGCGAAAGATCAGGGTACTCCGATCCTATATGATCAAAACATTTCCTACCGATGTGTATTGCCTAAAGTGCTTTTAACTTTGCAATGAAGAATGTTATGTTTTTAACGTGATAAAGACTAGCAGACACGCTAGCATATAATAATTTTTAACTGCAAAATTTCATCGAGGAGGAGCTCTCGGCACTAAATCAGAAAAAAATTCGAAGATGTTGGATCGCTAAAGGGAGGACGATTTCGATACATGGCGTTGTATCTTCTTATACTACTTTGTGTTATCCATATTTGCACTTTGCGCGAAATGACGCGTAACTCATGCTCTTGTTACACAAAGTATTGCGTGTACTATTTTAAATCATTTAACAGACGAGGGTCTCAAGATCGTCGGCACGCTTATCCCGAAGTCCTGCATGGAGACTTTACGCCAAGCGCTCTCAACGGATGCCGAGAAAACCGAGGAGCAGACGTTCCCTTCGTCTTAGAGGTAAATTTACGGATTTTATTCCCTAATCCTCTGGCGACGATCACTGGTAATAAATCGTGGATAAATTTATTGGCAGATAAGGACAAAGCGGAGCTGCCCAGCAGTAATCTGGCACAGCAGTGACGTGGATTCTACTCCGATTTGTAGCCAAGTACCTTTGTAGGTTCCAGATTGAATCTACCAGTCTACGTTCGCCACGAAAAGGCACGTCGGTGAATAAAATGAAAGATCGGAGAGCCACGAGCCACGATCGTCGTTCAATTCATTAAAAAAGGAAAAAAAGAAAACGAAATGTACGGTACGCGAACTTCACCGGGGATGATGTAGTTAGAAGATTCTTTATTTTATTTTTTTTTTCTAGGCTGACGCTCTGGAGGACCCACGGTGACGATTCCCCTAAACCTCCGGGCGACGTTGTTCCCCTTTCCCGTTCTCTACCTTCCCGTTTCTTTTCTTTTTTAATTTATCGCTAAGATTTTTAATCGCGACGTAAACAGCAGTGATTTAATTTAATTGAGAGGAAAAAAAAGGAAGGAAAGATGCAGTAAATGAAACGGCTCGCTTCGATCGAGTACATGACTCTTCTCGAATAGAGGCCATAAGTTTTAAGTATTCTCTGTACTAGACTCACCAAAAATAAAAGTGTAAGGGTCGAAAGAGGTACGGCGGAGAATAAAGAGATCTCACGAGTTTAACATGAGTGTGAGGCGCGATTGTGAACTACTTCGTATCGTTAGGTGAAATTACGCTGCGACCTCGCGAATTCTATTCACGGGATTATGGGTCGAAGCCTAAATTAAGTCTGCAAAAAAAAAAGACTACACTGTAAAAAAAAAGGGGGGGATATACGCATTTTACCAATGATACACGGTGTAATTTTACGAAGCGTTCGCAGAAATTCTCTTATAAACTCAGAAAAGAATGCGTAACAATAAAACTCATACATTGTAACGTATTTTTCGTGATTCGTAGTTCTGGAAGAGTGTAGAACCTTCTCCTGTATTACCTTCGGTCATTGAGTAACATTTGTATGGACAATCTGAGTTAAACTACGCCTCGTTTGGTATAATCGTACTTTCCATTCGTAAAGTTATACTTTGTACCGTGGTTAACGTATGTAAAGATTTTTACAGGGTACATACCATCTTCCTACTTTGTCGTTACATTACAGTGCATCGCTACCACCACTGTCACCCTCACTATTCAGTGCTATATTATAGCTACAGTTACTACTGCTATTTACTACTAACTGCTATTCTATAACTATTATTATTAACGCTATTACTACAGCAGCAATTACTATTAAACATTATTTAGACTCGCTGAGACACACGATATATTTATATTGGATGAAGATGAACATTGTGTAGTAGTTATACTTTCCTCGTGTACTTGAGTAGATGACTGTTCGTTTGTTTGTACGGTTGAGCGAATATTTGACGAGTGCTGAAAGTTGAAGGCTGTGCGTTTACGGTTTTTAAACGAGCCTTAATAAGGGGAAAAAAAGAAATTAAATAGGGATACGTCCTCGTACAATGCGCGACAATATTCTTGTCGCAGGTTAATTTAGCGATGTATTCGCTAAGCTTTGATAACAGGGTTTAACTTCCGGAAAAGAACAGATGCTTAGGTTTTTAGGATTCGTATTAGATAGACCTGCGAAAATTATACTCACGAGTGTTCTGTCGGTCGCTTTCTTCATTGAAATATTATACTCACTCGTGTGCAACATTTTTCGTAACGAGGATGCATATGAGTTATTGCAATAGTCGGATTGTAGCGATATTAGGGCGCTTTAGTCTCTCTTAGGAGGGCTAATAAATGTGTATTATTTATATTATTAAATTATCTTATATTACTATCCAAAGATAAGTACGAAGGCATGTTTTGTAGGGATTGAAATATAAATTAACCTTAACTTCTCGTTGACGCACTTGTCGCTCTGACACGGAAACTAAATATTTCGAGTACCTTAGTGTAATGATTAATAACTTAATTAACTAGGTGATAGGCCAACTCGTAATAGCAAGAATGCTGTCGTGCAATGTACACGGTGTACGTGGTTTACATACAAGGAATGAGTCTGATGAACTTTAATTAGATTATCTTTGTTTCGGTACCTAATTTTGTCACTACTGTGTAATGTCCCACAATTGTCGATTTGAAATCAGGTAAAGAATGTGTTTAGTATAAATTTTGTGTCAGAAGTATAGAGACCCGTTAGATCTAACCTCAATATATTTTGTTAATGTTATACCATGGTACTGTAAACGTTTTTTTAAGCACATTACCGATGATACACGACGTTACTTTACATAGGTTTACATACATTTTTTATACGCGTTCTACAGTTTCTTTGTCCCACGTAGATGAAGAGCGAAATGAATTTCTGCGTAACCGCAATGTCTGGTATATTTAGGAAATACTTCTGAATGCCTTTATTATTCAAGTAACATTCCTGGAAGCATTATAATATTTTTGGGGGTGTTAATTCGTCCACGTGAATTATTCATTCATATTTACGTGCTGACATTTTATTTTGTTTAAATGGTTTAGAGTGATACGATGTATCACTGGTATGAATAAAAGAATAGTTTACAGTGCCAAGTAGGAGAGTAATCAGCTGATTGCACTTGTCAATGTGCGTGTGAATACTTCGCGTGCCTCGGTCATATTTATTGCTAAATAGGATGAAAGTTAAGTGCAAGTGACACGGCGTAGAACATATCCGAATAGATTTCATATTCATCTTCAAGCATCCGTAGGCTCGCGTGCTGATCTAGTAAAAATGTCAAGAGTCATGAGTTGTTCTGCTAATACTTCTCCGGTCTTTGCGCGAACGAGTATTCGTCATGGAGATCTGATATACGCGACAGTGGGCGATTAAAGATCCTATATACATGTCACTACTGTATATATACATGTATAAATGTATCTGTCATGTTAAAAGCCAATACATTCTAGCCAAAATTGAAATCGCTTACTTTTCAACGCGACAGTAAATAGTTGTGGAACGAATGACTTTAGGAAATGGATGAGTAAAAATGGGTCTGCGTTACAGATGAGTTAAAATAATTTGGGCATTTTTTGTATTATTTATTAAAATAACCCAACAACTCCGAACCGTCGTCGCTTCGGGTATTTACAATCCGTAGTCTACAATCAAGGTGCGGTCTCGTATAAAACATTCTATATTATATATAATCTGTATTACTATTTTCCTTTCTTTCTTCAAATCTCTCTTCGCTGTTCTAATGATATTGTGAAATTTTCGTAAATCTGAAAATCGCTTATACCTTTTAGATCTATTCGCAAAGAAATGTATATTAGAACTCCTTAATGTTCTTTTTTTTTTTTATCATACAGACACACAGTACAGTTTAACGAAAATGAAACTGTTTAAAAATTGAAAAAAAAAAAATCATTTTGTACATTGAAAGACTTACATACCTGTATAATATTAATTAACTTGGGCAATTTTTTTACTCGATCCTCTTATTAATATTTAATACACAGTCAAGTTATTGAACCGTTGTAGTTATATACTGACAGTTCATTTCGTAATCACAATCAGTTTCTGATTAGAAATCTATGATGTATGTACAATCATGGATTAATAAGTTTTAACTGTATGTCAAATGAATTTCCATAGGATTATTTCAATAGAAATAGACTCACATGGACGTACTGAAAGGATGCACGTGTAGTTTAGTGAAAAGCGTAGAAAAGCACAAGGAAGGTGCAAAATCCAATTAAAAGGCCAAGGATTAAAGAGTCACGTCGTTTGCGTAAATTTATCCTCTGTAGCAGACTATTCACTGCTGGAAATCGGTTAGAGATGTCATTAAATCGTGTTTGAATACGCTTGAATGCCTGTCTTTGAGTAACCAAATGTTCTCGAGTCTCAACGGCTATGCTGATTTGGTCGTTAATCAGTCTGTCCGAACTAGAAAATAATATTCATTAGTGAGAAAGATGCACAAAAAAATGTTCGTATTACTGATTAATAACAAGTATCAAAAATCAGTCTGAAAATTCATCTAATGCTTACCTGTGGATATGATGATTTTCTTTCAAATACATTTCTCTACGGTTTAGGCCACGGGCACTTTTGAAGCTACTGTAAAAATAGGAGAATGTAGTACTAATGTTAAACTTGTTAAATATTTTTTAACCATACTTTTAGCATTATTTTGCTATAGAAATATCTACAAAAATCAGTGATTCTTACTCGATTTCTTTGCGAACATTGCCGAGCAAGTCTTCTCTGTCTTTTCTCGCTGCAAAATTATTTCTAGTTTTATTGAACTCGAGTCTGTAATCCTTTAATATTTCTCTGTGGCGTTGCATTGTATGCAACATGGCTGCACCATTCGGCTTAATTTCACTCATGCTGTCATTGATATCCGACAGCTGAAATCATCAGTAAAGGGAATTAATCTTTATCGAAAACTTCGATTGGTAATAATTTGAATATTTACCTTTGTGAGTAAACCTTCGATTTCTGAGGCCATATTCTCGAATACATGTTCCTCATCCAAAAGTGGAACGCTGTCTGCAGAGGCATGTTTGGGAGCAGTGTTTATTCCGATCTTACTAAATGCTACAAGCTTTGCATCAATTTCATTCTCTAAGTGTCTCGCTTGCTTCCGCAGATCTATAATTATAGATAACTGATCAATTTACTTTGTACAACTACAATAGGATCGATGGAAAATGGTCGAAGTGTCACTATGCTGTTATCAATGAACATTACACAATGCCTCACTATTATAAAAAATAAATTTACAATCGAAACTAATATACAGCTGACGTGATGCAATAAAACTACTTTAATTAGTATAATTAAGCATCGCAGGCATACATTGTTCATAGCTGACTTGAATTTTCATAAAGTCCATTTACTCATATAAAGTATTATACGTCTGACAGGTCATATGTCAAAGACTAATTAAATTATCGAAAAGCAGGTTTATGCAGGGTGTATGAGACATTTGCGTGGTTTTCGACGAAACAGCTAAACGATTTATCAGAATATGCGCTATTTATTTTGCATAATAATATAAACGAAAAATATACCTTCCCAACCCACAGCACCTGACGCGCTCGCCATTTTCCGAAGACTGGTGTATATATATATATGTATGTACACAGCCCTCAAATATATGATGTATGTATTTGCCAACTTTGATGTATATACGCATCAGCGCCTCCAAACGGTAACCGATGGAACCCTGAGAGGCTGTAACCAGCAGAGATAATCTCTGTATGTAAAAAGAATTCCTTAAGGGAGGGTTTCAAAACTGAAGCAGAGGACGTTAGAATCTGCGCCTGGATGTGCACATAACTTCTGGCGTTGTTAATATCAAAGATCTACGAAATCTGTTTGGTTGGCTGTCTTCTTTAACATTTTGTTATTGGTTTCGAGACATTCGTAATCATTCGTATTCACTCGTGTTCACTCGTGTTTGCTCGCTTTCACTTGACTCCTCCCATTTTTACTGTGCAGCGCAGATTTGCGGGTCTATCTGTTGAGTGATTGTCAAAATTGATTGGATTCTTCCTGTGTGTATCGTGGTTCCTAGCGAAAAGCATACTTGCATTCAAGTAAGTTTTACACAGCTGAATATTGCTTTCAAATTGAAGTATTTCTAGCACTGACATTACCACATTGAAATTCAATTTTGGTACCATGCTAACCTATAACTCCCATGCAATTAGTTATTACTGTACATTTCACGCGTCGCTAATTTCCTTATATAACGGTTTAAAAAGAAGAAAACGTACAGTGCCACTTATTTAATAATCAAACTTAAAACTATTTCAGCAATGCCGGAGGCTGTGGAAATAAAATCCAGTTGGGCAGATGACGTCGAGGAGGAGGCAGGAGTTTTGCCACCTCCATCCGAGGTATACGAAAATGGATTCAAAATTCTCACCGAATACAAATACAATGCAGATAATAAGAAGGTCAAGGTAGTACGAACGTACAAAATAGAGAAGCGCATCGTGTCGAAGTCTATTGCTGCTCGCAAGAATTGGGCTAAGTTCGGAGAATCAGCAGGCGACAGGCCAGGACCTAATCCCGCAACTACGGTTATAGCTGAAGATGTTTTCATGCAATTCATCTCCAGCAAAGAAGAGGAGAACAAACCTGAGGAGGATTCCCTGGATAAATTGAAAAGCATGGGTGATAAAGGAATCGTCAAGTGCCGTAACTGCAATGGAGAACATTGGACTTCAAAGTGTCCTTACAAGGATACCGTTCTTGCTGGAGGTAAAGTACCGGATGATAAGAAGCCTGTTGTCGGTCCTGGAGTGCCTGGAGCTATTGCCGATCTTACCAAACCTCAAGGCAGCAAATATGTACCACCGAGCATGCGCGATGGAGGCAGCAAACGAGGTGATTCTATGCAGTTACGCCGTGACGATACCACTGCTATTAGAATTTCCAATTTGTCTGAGAGTACTTCCGATGCCGATTTGGATGAACTGGTCAAGCCATTTGGTTCCGTTCTTAAATTCTATCTTGCCAAGGATAAACAGACCAATCTCTGCAAAGGTTTTGCTTATGTACACTTCAAATCTAGAAGCGAAGCCGCAAGAGCTATTGCTGGCTTGAATGGCTATGGGTATGATCACTTGATTCTCAATGTGGATTGGTCAAAACCACCCGCACAAAGTAATTAAAAATGTCTAGATTAATCCTGTGGATAACCAATAATACATTTTTTTGAATCTATAACATACAAACCATGGACATGATATCAGTCCTGTTGAATCAATCAATGTTTCATACTATATTTCTTATTTCCTCTATGTACACTGGCGGACTCAATTATCATCACTGTTGATACGGTGCCACTGGAGTAAGATGGGAAGGCATTTATGTTTGCCAGTGTACATTAAAAGCGTATTCAGGAAAACAGTTTAGTGCATAATGTCGAATTTGCTTGACCATTAAATCTATTCTGTAACATTTGAAAATTATCGTACCTTGTAAGATATATTGTTGAATTGATTGGTCCATAAATCTCTGTACTCAATGAGTCAAGTTTTCGAAGAAAAGTACATTTTTCCTGACTTTACCTTCTATCCTGTGCAAATCAAAATCTTAGGAGCACATATATATCTTTTATATTCGTTTTTCCTGAGTAGGAAATATTCATTAAAAATATCTTTTAATAAAATACAGGTCCCATCATAAGTCACATCATCTTTGTGATTTTTCGGTTTTAATATTAAAACTTCACATTCAATAAATACACTTCTACATATATATGGTGTTTCCTCGCAAGAACAAAATTAATACGTCGTTGTAATAAATACGAAAATGTCGGGAATTCTAATGTTATGCTCCTACACTCTGCACTGGACGATTATGCCTTAAACAAATTAATTATATCTTAACGAATCAGGGAACAGAACGTGATGTAAAAGCAACGCAAAAAAAAAAATACATGTTTCGTCAGTTCATGACCGGAGCTATGTTATTAATACTATGTCGCCTAAGTACTTCTTTAACGGTAACTTTAATAGTATTTTAATGACCTAAAATTGCTCGATTTAATCCGATTGATTACAGCGGTAGCAAACATGTTTCGGTATCTCAAGTGCAAGCTCAACAGCGAAACAGAAGTGAAGTCGTTATCAAATGGACTTTAAAATGCTGCGTGCAATTATTTAAATATCGTTATAAACACGAATATTTCCCGTTTGGAATAGAACATTAATGCAACACGTTTTGAAATTGACTGGCAGTACTGAGACAATGTTCTTCAACTCTGTATAATTAGAAGTACAATGCGAACACCTTCACAGTACCAGCAATTAATTTCTTTTTGCAATTAAGTTCGAACCGATCAACATTAATAAAATAATTCAACTTTCAATTAAGATCGATTCACGCAATGCTTTAAAATTACTTCGCTTAAACAATAACAGAGAGGTAATTAATTGAGTCAATTAAGTATAGAGGCAAATAATATCGCTACATACTCATTTACATTCCGCATCAAACTCCTTACAGGAGATCTTTCCTGTTAGTTGCAATTACGTTGGAGTAATAAGATCACGTCGAATAAATGATTGCCTTGGTCCAACCAACTGACTTTCCTGCGCGATTAAGAACAATGCAAAGAAGTGGAAGCTTTTCCTTTTTCATTCCGCGTGAATGCAGTTTCCCATCTTAACGATCAATACGACGCAGGAAGATGTTTCTAAGAGAAGTTCGTCCGATTATTAAGTGGAATCGCTTCGGCGACCTCTATTTACATCCTGTTTAACAACGTGGAATGCATCATGGACCCAGGAGTACTCGGTTCCCTTTTAGGAAGATATAAATCCGAACTCTGTACCAAATTCTACCGGATATATCCTTCGCGTTTGCCCGCAAATGCATAACGTCAAGGGCTCCCGGATTCGGTGCATTCAATGCAAGGTGCACAACGATCGTGTAATTCGTGACACATGGACGGATCGTGGTTTACCTTTAACGCCTCGACGATCCATGAGAAAGAAGAGAAAAAGGTTTCAAGCTCCTCCCCCGGACATCCTGTAGAGATTCCAAGGATGCGAAACACCCCCAGGACCATCGAGAAATAATTGCCTTAGGGTTAAACTCGTATCCTAATTAGCACGGGTGAATCCTCCGCCAGAAATAATTCCTTCTCCCACCTCAGGCTTATCCCTAGTTTAATCGAGATAAAAAGTTCAGTAGGCTCCCGCCGAGACGAGATGGATCTTCCAGGACTCTCCTCCCGATCCGGACCACGTCCTGATAAGGGGATCCTAAATATCCAGGACGAATCTCCTTCGCTCAGGGATCCCGTAGATTTTTACAGTCACTCCGTAGAAAACAATTCCCTATTCCTCGTGTTGGTTTCAAAGATTAATCTGCCTACCCTGACCTAACCAGACTCCGACCATCTCTTATCGCCCCCAAGGGGTGCGAGAATCGCGACTTCTTCGCCCTTCTCGTTGCCTTTTATCATCTACCAGATCGAGCACTTCTTCGTCGGGTTCATCTTCGAGCCTGCCGGGCAGTTGAAGTCTTTGGAGAACTCCACCATGTTGGACAACGGTCCCAGGACCCGGAATTCCCCGGGACTGTGGAAGCCCGTCGTGATCCTGAGCTTCAGGGCTTCCGGCCTGTAAGCACTGCACCAAGTGTTGGCGGCGCTTATCCAGAACAATTGTTTCGGGGAGTACGAAAGACCTGGAAGTTTCGGCTCTTGTCCGTTTCTCCGGACCCACTCGTTGTAGGCGAGATAGGCCTCCTTAATTCCGCCATTATCAGCTATGTTCTCCCCCTGGGTATTGATTCCGTTCAGCTGGAACAGAACGATTCGATTTTACGATTCGTGGCCGATTTGGCGGCTGGTTTAATTACTGATAAGAGCTTAAGCAGGGCCTAGAACTCGCGAATTCCTAGGCTCGCTTATGCTGAACTTTAAATGAGAATTAGGAATAGGGGGCGAAGGAAAATCCTGAAAGCCCTGGCTGCGACATTTTTGCTACACTCAAAAAAGGGTCTAGTTAAAAAGAAAAAAAAAACAGAGATCCGATTATTTTAACTGGATTAGATCGTTAAATATGTCTTCGCTATCTTTATGGTTAAGAGCATCAGATATTTCTAGTAAAATACCCGTTTGCCTTATCACTTTTTTTTTTACGGTACATCCTAAGAGAATTTCTGCGTGGAAGAGCAAGCATTTTCAATACATTCAACCAGACTTCGATAATCAGAATTTTCTGCTCACGTTAATCAGACTTTCTCATTCATGATGCCTGGAATTATTTTAACCAGACGTATCTACTAACATTCACTTTTTTTTTTCAGAGCGTGTATTAATGTCTTATCGCTGCGTGAAGGGATTTAATCGACGTCGGGATTAAATCGAATCACGCGTAGTTAACACCTTCGCGACCGGCAAATTTTTTCCGTTTCAAATACTGAGTACCGGGGAAAATAATGAAATTCTGAAACTGGTTGCCGCAAACTTGTGTCGTGTGTATCGTTATGGACGTGATTCACGTTAGCGGTCGCGAATGTGTTAAAACGACGTACGAGACGTTTTCTGAATTTTCACGAAGCCTTAAATCGTGGGTTTTCAAACTTCCACTCGAACAATTTTACGATACGATGCAGTAGACCGGCTGAAGAATATTCCTAGGAGTGCATTAGTCCTCGTCGCTTGTCCTGACCAAGAATAGATTCGATTAATTCTCCGGACGTGAATCTTCATACATTTTTCGAGCGAGCATTTCGACTCGATAATTTGCAGCAGGGAACGGGAAAGCCGAGAAACGAGAGTCGACACTCTTGAATGTAATTTCTAGGAACTTCATGCTTGGTTTCGCGTTTTTAAGTGTTTCCTCACGCGCTATTCTCGATGCTCTCCGAAATATATATATATATATTCTCACCGTCGCTCTCTTCGAGCCTCGTGTCTGCGATTTGCAAGCCTTATCAGAGAATTCTATGCGACGAAACGAGCGAGCGCAATATAAGTGGAAAACAGCTCGTCCCGACGGGCGGAATCGTAAAAAGAGATATATCTCTAAGACGCGCACGTGCCATTAGATGCAACCGAGTATGCAATAACTGCCCTCGTATCCGCACTTACCTTCAGCCCGACCTCTTCAACGGTGTAATTTCCGTACTGATGTATAATGCACTCGGCCCTTTCGAGGTACTTCTCCTTGGTTTCCGGTGCCCACCAGTCCACCAAATTGCCTTCCTTGTCGAATTGCCTGCCCTGGTCGTCGAATCCATGAGTGATCTCGTGGCCGATCACGAACCCAATCGCCCCGTAATTCATGTACCGAGGTCGATCGTTGCTGAAGAATGCTCCCTGAAGAATGCCGGCTGGGAACTCTGCAGGGAAAATGGAAAAGAAATGAGGCTGGTTGCACCTACTTAATTTTCGAGGACACGTTTAAGGTGATGCGGAAGAGCCCGACAAACAAAGCGATTGGATATAAGTTGATAAGTGGTGCAAAACCGTTGACAGTAATCGTATAAAGTGTGTTGCAAAAGAGAAACGTGTTTTACCCGTTTTAATGACAAATTCAACGTTGATATAACGTCTACTCTACGTTTATTAAACTGCCGTTCCAGTCGGCTTAGATGAACGTGGTTTAAACGTTGTACGTAAAACAATCGTTCGTAATAGTTTACTATACGTTTAAATGACGTTAAAACGTTACGTTAAAGTACACGTCTCTCCTCGACTAGAGATGTACGCATCGAAAACTTAACGCAGTAAATCAAGGTTTCTTATAAATGTGTATTTAACGTAGAGAAAAAATCGTAGGTGGAACCTTAAAGAGGAGTGCAACGGCGGCGTTAGTCTGTACCCATGGCTCATTGTTAGCGTTAAAAGACGTCCGTTACGTGTAGCCTTTAGATGCCTACAAGACGTCTTTTAAAGGTAAAGGGGAGTTACGAGTACGAACCTTTGAGAATTTTAATAATGAACTTACGGATGCTGTTCTCAATGGAGGAGTAAAACGCGTTGACGACTGCTGGCCTGCCGTGGGTGATCCAATCGCTCTTGTTTACCGGTTTCCTCAGTTTGCTGAAAGAATACTCCGTTCCAAAGAGCGTCAGATTCAGGATGCTCTCCACATAGTTGTCCGGGCTCAGTTCGAGTTTCTCGTAGAACTCCTCCAGCTTCTTGTCGTTGAGGAGCTCGTCCGGATACGCGATGTGAGATGACATGGAGGCTGCCTTGTCGAGAGCACTCTTACGCGTCTCATTGTCCATCCACTCGACCTGATCACGCAACGCAAACACCAGATAATCAGACAATTTCATCCTCGTAAACGCGTATTCACAAAATGAAGAAGTAAGCCATTATTCCGCGAACAATCCAAAAAAACAAATTGCGCCATTTAAAGTGACATGAAAGTGGCACCTGAGGGGTCTCGCTTATAAGACTTTTCTCCGAACTAGGTGCACCAAATCGTTCCAAATGTTACCACTCAAACACAGAGACCCTAAGAAAGGTCCTAGAACTCAAGAAATTTCATTTTTATACAAATTTAATAAAATGCTTCTAAGCAACTTGGAAAAAAAAAGAATTCAATTTCACGGGCGTCAGGACCTTGTGTTCACGGGATAGAATCTCGAACAATTCGGTATACATAAATCGGAGAAAAGTTTCATAAACAATCCCTCGAATGCCACTTTCATGCCGCCTTAATTCATTAGGCTTTTCATTAGGACCTCAATGGACTATTAAAATACACTTCCCCCGAGAGGAGCGTTTACTTTGATTTTTCAGTAAAACCAACCGTCTTCAAGATGCTCGTGAACTGCTGCCTGATGTCGCCCACCATCTCCAGAGCGTTTTTCTTCGCATCCTCGTTGAAGTACCTCCTAACATAAAGGGCGCCCACACTGATGGAGAGACTCCCGGAAACGAGGTCCACGCATTCTTTCCACCTGGACTCCCTTTCGGTCCTGCCACTCAAGGCCGTCGAATATGCCAACTGCCTCTTCCTGACTTCTTCGGTCAGATAGCTGATGGAAGCTGCAGTCGCCCGCCACATCATGTAGTTCGCTTGGATCCGTTTCGGAGTAATGCTTAATAATCGCTCGAGATCGCTTATGTAACTTGGCACGTTAACGATCACCAGCTCGTTCTCGTTCACCTGGATGGTAGGTGCCAATAAGGTGTTGAAATACTCCTGCCATGGCACGCTGGGGTAGTTTCTGTTCAGCTGGCTGACGGTCATCGGGTTGTAGAGGAGAGTGGCGTTTCGCCGCTTCTCGTTTGGCAAGGATATCTAAAAAGTGGAGAAAAGCACTGGAAATAATGCCACTTCCACTCCTCTGGATATAAAGGCGGCGCCTGTGATTCGACTTCAACGCGATTAGCTTCGGAACGAATCCTTGACAAGTTTCCAAATGATATCGGTAACGCTGAAATCGGACACATTTCACGAGGATTTGTTTTAAAGCGATTTCACCCCGATTTAACGGGGATAGAAACTGAGGGAGAATCGGAGACTTTTCCAGGATAAATTTGGTGAAATTTTTACACGGAGAGGATAAAAGAAAATTAGGTAGAGTAGCAGAATTTTCATTAACCGTGGATAGGAGATAAATGTAAAATAATTTCAGAGCAATGGATGACGAAGGAAGCTAATTGGTCTTTTATTCAAAATCACTCACGTTGGCAAGCTTGATTTCGAACTCGAGGGACTCCTTCAACTCTTGGGATGCTCTGCTTTTGTTGGCCCCCAGGATGACGGCTATGTCCACCATGTAGCTGTAATAAGCCTGAACGATCTTCCCATCGAAGCCTTTCGTCAAGTACTCCCTCGACAGTCCAAGAGACGCCTGATCCAACTGTAATTAAATAATTCCTGTACAATCACCGCAGTATACAAACTGTAAAAAGATTTTATCGATATATTGAGATGCTGACAAAAATTCAAGCACTTCGAGGTGTAATATAAATTAAATGAGCAGGTCCTAAGTTATCGATAGCTTTCCAATTAGAGGCTCCTTATCAGGAATAAATGAATAAAATCACGACGTACATCGATGACGCGCCTGGTGCTGTTCTTCAGGTCGACGCCGATGCTGAAGTCGATGAAATAGTCCACGGAGTATCCCGTTTTGTGGAATGTATAGACACTCTCCTTCCAATTGAAGTCACCGTCGTTCCAAGCATCACCGTCGAGTACTGGCCAACCTCCGAGTTTCTTCAAGATCTTCAGCAAAGGTTTCAGTCCCTGTTCCTCGATAGCGGCTAAAAGTCAACCATAAGCTCAGGAAATTCTTCCTCGATTTAAAGGGAACTAATATTACAATTAAAGTCTCTTTGATCCTAACTCTACGAGGTCTTACTTTTGTTCATGCAGGCCTTGTACAAGTTCTTGACCAGCCTGAAGGGCTTGGGCTCGTTTTCCGGGCTCTTCTCCTCGATACTGGTCCTAAGTTGTTTCTGCAGCTTGTCGCTGATGATGCTAAATGTATTCACGCTAGTCTTGTCGTCAGGAATTACAGTGGATTTTAAGAAACCTCCGCAGGCGAATTTGTAGAAGTCGTCGCAGGGTTCCACGTCCGGGTCTATGTTCTTCAGGATCTTCGAAGCTGAAGTGGACAAGTTCCGGGATAACCAGGTGGTAATAATTTCGTTCGAGCAAATTGACAATGAGCGAAAAATTTATTTTCCCCAAGAAATTAATTACTTGCAGTCATCAAAATGTTTCTTGCCGAATAATAGAAGCTTTAATTTCATTCAATCAACCCCACAACTTATTTTCTTGACAATAGCAGGCAAAACTCTTTTTTGTCCCGAGAATTCCTTTTATCCTACAGAAAGTAAATTTTTCGTCCAACATAATAGATCAATTCACGATGAAGGAAGTTTCTCCTGAATTCAAGACCAACCTGTGTGAACGCATCCTGGCTTCATACACACGTCCTCGGCATCAGGACCTCTGGTGACCGTCAGGATATTCGTCGAGGGTGCAGCTCCTAGTGCTTCCGCTGCAGACGGTAGCATCTCTGAATTAACAGGAACTACTGGTGCGGAAGTGCAGGTGCAGGTGCGAGTGCGGGTGCAGGTGAAACGAGAAAGCGTTAAGAATGAGCCGTAAATGAGAGCCAGCATTGACATTAATCTAATATAAAATTAATTTAAATTCTACATTAACGCCAGTTCAGATTGCTCCACCCAGGAGATGTAAAAACGAGGGTGCGAGCCGTTCACATTTCAGGGAACCCACGGGACCAAAAACCATCCAAATTAATTTGAAACCCCAGTAAGCACCCGTTCCTCCTCAAAAATCATACCGCGATACATATCGCACCGAATCGAGAAGTTAGGAAATTTAATTAATTTCACACACCGGGATCGGAGTTTTTCCGCACCGAATCCCAAGTGTTCCGCTGGCAAAAAATTGGGAAAAAGAATGGAAACAAAACTCGTCAATCCTATGACTAACGGAGTGAGATCACGGGGTGATTCTGGTCCACGAACCCCCGTAGAGAAAATCTAAAAATTCCCTCGGCGCCAGGGAACGCGTATTCGGGAATTTATCCAGGACTTTTCACGCGTGACGCAAAGGAGCAAGGTGGGAGCCAACAGTCAAATATTTGCAAATCGCTCTTTCCCCCTCGTTGTTCACGGACTGGGCAAAACTGCGCCAACGACGTCAAACGGGCGCCGGTGTTTTCATTTTCGCCGATTAATCCTCTTTTTCGGATTATTTCGTCAGTAAATCGAGTCGCTATTTTGAGGATTTAGTTCCGGTTTGGAAACCGATTAGGAGAATTCGACGAATCGAACGGATCTTCGTATTCACGTTGTAAAGTTTGAAACGATTTGGTACACCGAGTTCGATGAAAAGTTTTATAAACGATTGACTCCTAAGATGCCACTTTTATATCACCTTAATAGGATACTGAACCTTCCTAGTGTTACTAGCCAAATGACGATTTACGAATTGTAATAAAAAGGCACTTTTATTTAATAAAATGAAAAACGCTTTCCTTGAATGATAATCTGCAGATTAATAGGAAGTACTGCCAAAATCATCCCGAAATCAAGACAAAAATTAGAATGTTGCATATCGAAATGAAGAAAAAAGAAACAAAAAAAAAATTAGTAACCATCAAAACTTTCCTCGAAATTGTTCAGATTTCAGGATAAAACAGCGTGAGTAAGTAACTAATTGCAGTACTTGACATTGTCTACATGTAAGCATATTTTCAAATTCTATTCACGGAACAACCGGTAATACTGCTGCATTGTTTTTTATCGCGTTATGCATATGCCGCTCGGATCGATTCGATCCTTTCGATTGACTCCAGCATCTCCTTAAAGCCGGATTTTTAAAGGCGAATGCGGAATTTCCATCCGATGAAATCGCGGACAATGCGACGAAGAAAAGCCCGTCCGACGTTCGGGCCGGTTTTACGGCCTGGCCATTGTCTCGAAGTGCCGTAATTGAACGGCCCGACCGTAAACGTAATTGACCGGCGCGATAGGCGCCCCTCCTTGAAAATGCAAATTACGACCAGCGGGACCAAGTTTGACTTCCCGTCGGATCCAATACTCGAGGTCACCGATTTCTGCGAAATTCGTGCAGAACTTGTTGCAAAACCTACTACGTATTTACGTGATAGCTGGACTACCCAAAGTATACTACAAATTACCACGCCACCTTAAATGCACAATGACAAATGCAGATAGAGATCAATTCCTTATTTATCTCCATCTGCATTTGAACCTCCAAATCCTTAACCCTTTAAGCGATATTTGCTTGTGATCATTTAATTTCCCGTAATTAGTAAAAACGTTCACCCCGAGCGATCATCGCATTGGGTTGACCTAAAAGTTCGTGCCGTTCGAATATTCCGAATTTTATCAGACTATTTTTTTTTTTTTCAAGCGAGATATCGTAAAACTGCCCTGAACGTTGGAAACAAAGTCGTGAATAATGAGGAATATATTATTCTTTAACGTTGTACAAATTTTATTTTTTAAATTGCGTATTTTTCATCTTAATACAAGAAACGGCATGAACTTCTATAAGTCGACCCAACGACTCGGCGATTTCCCTTTCCTCAGCAAAACGTATTTGTATAAAAATATCGGAAATTCAAGACTTACCATCGGCAGAGACATCGCAGGAGGTGGAATTACTGGCCAAGATCCCAAGTCCGACAGCCAAGACGATGCACAGAAGTGCAGCCGACACTGCAACCACAGTAAGACCTCGCTCCAGAGCCGATCGGCGCTTCCACCATGTTGGGTTTCTGAAAGCGACATTCGAGCTCATTTTCTTCAATTGATAATTCCTAGTTCCTCCTCGCAAAAGGCAACTTCGCCGGCGTCGCAATTCCGACCACATTGGTCATCGATATCCAGTACCGTTAATCGACATTGACAAGTTGATATCGCAAACTTTTGCCTAAGGGCGAGTGAGATATCGGCGAACGGATCGCCGAAGAAATTCTACACCCACGCCCAAGTACTATTACATCCACTAACCTAGGTCAATAATAATCCCTCATCGCGGCGAGTTGCTATATCGCGACTAACTTTACTCCGCTGCCTCTTAAGGCCAGAAATAATTGAAACAGTTAATTGATCGCGTATCTTGATGCAATTTCACCTTCCCGCGAATGATCGGCACCATTTCTTTAGAACCCACCGTTGAGCGCTCTTCTCTGTCAAACATTCCAGGCAATTGATTGCAGAGTAGCAAAACATCTCGAGACAAACGGAGGCCCCTCGACGTACATGTCAGGCCCTCATTGTCATTTGAATCAGCGGCTTGCGATCGTTTTTTCTAGGTACATGTTTCACTTTCGCGTTTCCAAGCGCAACCATCACTCTCGTCTGTCTTCGAGGAAGTTTTACCGGTTTCTGCCGATTATTCTCGATCCCGACTAGGTGGGTTTCGTTTAAGTGGCGCACCCAGTCGCAACGGAGGACCTTTTACGTCCATGAAGTGCAACCACAGGTGCGAGCACAATTGCGAGTCTTACGCGAAAAACGGCGTAACGGCGATCGGCGACCTCACCGAGCTCGCGTATTTACCCGCGTGAAACGGACGACCTTGTGTCCAAGGGATCGATCTTTCCCGGTGGATTCTCGCGATGGATATATGCCGGGTGCCAGTTAGGGTCTGCAGTAAAACTTCACTTATTGTTACACGAAAGCACCCCGCTATGTTCTATTGGTTCTGTGGGATTTACGGCCGCTCAAGAACGCTCTGGAAAATTGACAATGACCCTCTAAGTTTCTTCAGGGGCCCCGAATTTTCGATACATTTTTTCCAGAACCACAAGTTGAACCGTTTCACACCAGGACCGATGTAATTAAAAAAAGTAAAGCAATTATTAAGATTAGTGGCATCGCTCTATTTATGGTTACTTGAGAACACCCTTGCGAATTAGCAATGACCCTTTAACTCTCTTCAGGATGTCTGGATTTTCAGGAATCTAATTTTTGAAACATTTTTTCGAGAACCACAGGTTGATTTAATTCAGGTAGAGAATCAGTACATTTAGGAATAAATTAATTATCATGTTATTAGTAGGGGTTGATGAAGGGGCAGACGTAGATTTTGTTCATTTCCGAATTTTTTGTTTCTTTTCATAGTTAGTACACAAACCTAGACGTTTGTAGATCTCGATCGATTGTTCAATGAGAGGATTGATTGATTTGACGAAATCGTATTTTTATGCGCTAAACAGGTCATACCTCTAGGTTCTCACAGGTGACGGCTAGGAATATCAACAAGTGCGTTTTCATTAAATATCAATCGCAAGAAAGGATTTCTGCCGCTCCCACGGACTGGTATTTTCATTCCCGCGTTTCCTTTTCTGTCTGGTCAATTGGTAAATGCCTCTCGTTAATGATTTCGCTTTTTGGTATCAGTTTGTCGGACAAGCCAGTCGGTACTTCCAGCACCTGAGCCATTAAACTTTTTTGCGCGGACGCAACAAAGCAGCGAGTTTACGGTCGCAAAATGGCTTGTATTCTTGCAGAGTGATTGTTTATCGACGGAACGCGGAGAGTGCGAGGTACCGTGCATTGTTTCCACTCTTTTGTACCTTCCATGCATTCGAATTGCAATCATTTGAACACGTATATTATTGGTCCTGTGGCACGCTCTAACGAGTTTCCGCCATTCGAGTGCGACTCCCTTCCATTTTTATATTACCTCGAATGGAAAAACCACCAAGTCGGATCACTGTGAAATCTGGACGATCCTTAGAAAACCGGCTAAATATTTCCCCATTTGTTTATTTGCATCTCACCTCAATTAACTATGTCATGGAGCACGAGTCCTTGGTAATCCAAGGCTTAAATTAAGAAAGTGGGACAATTGTTATTTTGGCTCGTATTTTCTATCATTTCGTGGTTGACTGGAATGATTGGTTAAACGTTTCTATTCTTTCATCCTAATTTTTTTTTTTACGAGGAAAACAATCAAGTTGGAGACTAATCGAACCGCTCATTAGGTCCAATAGGCACAGTGGTTTAGAGAGAATAATTAATTATGGTTACTGCTGAAATAGTAAAATAAAATCGGAGCCCCTCTCGTTTAATTTACGTTAGAGTGTACCTCTCGATTTTTTTAAAGCTCGGTACTCAAAAAGGACCTTCGAGTAGTCCTCGTACCTTCCAGGACAATTAGAACTCGCGCAAGGATCTCTGTTTCTTGAAGGCTTCCCATCTTCCAGGAAACAACGTCCTCGACCTGTACCGAGAGAGACACTAAACGTAATTCATTTGTCAAGGTAACGTAACGTTGTAAGACTACCCAGGATTTTTTTTCCTAGACAAAAAAAAAACTGTTCTATTTCGCCTACGACATTCTATACGCGAAACTCAACAATGTCTCCTTTTAAACCGGTCGAAAAGGAGTAAATACGTAAAAATGTCTACTGCTACATGAACTTTATCTCCGTGCCACATTGTAAGTATAATCACCAGGTCTATTGTCTGATATCTAACGTCATGACAGGCATAATTCATCTTATCCTTGGAAAAATCGGCTTCTTTCTACCCACGATTCTGCGCTCTCTTCGATGGGTATACAATGCCCTTTTAGATCAATAAAAAATATTTGCAGAAATTCCCATTGACCGTGTCTCGTCGATTAATGAGCAATTGCCATGTTTTTGTCACAGTGACAGAGGTTTCATTAGCCGATTGATATCGCCATCGCCGATAGCGGCGCGGTATCGATCTTGCAAAATTCTTGAGAAATTGATCTCCCAGAAGAAACGGTCAGTCACGAGACCGAAGTGCGTTGAACGAAATGTTTACGCAACGTGATTGCCGGGTTCTCGGTGAAAAGCGAAAAAGTAAAGGGTAATCCGCTGCGAGGTGGAGAAAAACGTTGCGGAAGAAACGACCGCTGATCGGCGTAAGAATCCGATCGAGAGCGACTCGGGGGACAAGTTTTATGGCATCTCTGCGGTTCCGAGGGAAAGAGAGAGAATTATGTAATCCCGGGATGCAACGAGGTCTTCAATGTAATCAGAGTGATGGAAAGACGTTTTCGCGGCGCAATCGAGCGAAAAATCCGACCAGATCCTTATGAAGTCCCGAAGACGGTTCTGACATCCTCCCTATTTTATCGTGGCATTGTTTATCTCATTTAAAGTATTCTTCGTCGTATCTCCAACTCTAAAAATATCGAAGTCATCAGATTCGATCCCTGAAATTATTGAAATCACGCCGAAGTATGTAAGTCGTAAGTATGATCATTCAAGATGCATCCTTTAAACTAATTAAATTGGATGTTCCGAATCGTCGGAAATTTTACCACGGGAGTATATAGGCTCTAATGAAGGTTCAAATACCCGTGAAATTACATATTTTTTGTTATACAAAAATTTAAAACGTTTCGGTACACTCAGTTCGGAAAAATGTTTCATAAGCGAGACCTCTGGGATGCACTTCCAAATCACTTTAATTACTTATATTAATCTTTAATATTCTCCGGGATGTTTCCCTAATTCTTAGCCGAGGGTGTAATAAAAAAATGATGTTAACAATTCGAGGATATAACGCGGTGAACTGCAGATATAGTAGACGGCATTCCTCGGGGTGCATTTTAACCTGTTGGTTCCCATGCACCTCCAGATGCACCGACCATTTCCTCGTGTCGATAGATCCCGGTTCCCCTTATCCAGCTGACGACTCGTGTCGTTTAAGGAGACATAAGTACAGCGCCTGGTACGCGTAAGTATACTTGTACCAACAGAGAGTGCATAATAGACCCCGCCGCAAAGTGCAACGAGTGTATCGACCTCGAAGCTCGGTACTGCGCGACTCCCTCCAGGACTTCTTGCAAGCCCTCCGCTTGCGAGATAGAAAGTCAATGTCCGCCACCTTCTAGAGGAATTTCGCAGCCTCCACTTCTAAATTTTCCCTCTCCTGAATCTCAGCGGCTCTTTCTTCCAATCGATGCAATTATAACAACACGTAATGTGTAATTAAATTTGTAATTAAAGCTTACAAAGACCCGTCGCGATCTCAAATAAAAATTGAATTACGTTTTTCCACCTTTCATCGTGTGCTCGAGTACACAGAGGGATACAGTAGGATCAACAGGGAGGAAATTCTTATAATCATGGATGACTCAGAGAAGCCCTGGGTTTGCCAACGTCAATCAGCCGCAGGGCTTGTCAATTTTCCTATCTGCAAGTACTCCGAAATCATTTCAAACCCAGTCCGAGGGTTACCGTTTCTCGAGATTTTTTCGTGTCGTCCAGATTCCGAAACGGTCAATCATTGACTGCGCGTAAATGAGCAATTTCCCTCTTTCTTGTATTTGCGTCAATTCTCTCGTTTGGAAACCAGGATGTGAACGCGGTACGCCATTCGAAACCTGGTAGGAAAAAATCTCCGCAATTTTCAGGCGAGCCAGGATAAAGACTTCCTGGGAGTCCGAACGCGCGGGGAGATGGAAAATCGCGACAAAAATCAAAGGCGAAGCTGAGTAATGGGCTTGAAAGTCGTTACTCTGATATCTGGCGCGCGATTCTCTCCGGTAGGAAAAATCTCCAGGACGCGCGTTTGCTCCTTAGAATATGAGAGAGGCGACTAGAAACCCAGTTGAAAACGCAAGTGTCAAGTCCGAAGTATCCGCACGAGTCGTTCAAGGCAAAAAGACGGGTTTTCACGCGCGATCGCTCGTACAAGCCGGAGCCAAGGCACGGGTGTAACTTTCCAAGGAACATAATGTTTCAGCTGCGAACTAGGCCTCGTAAATCATTGAAAATTATTTGCA